GGAATCACTTTTGGGTGTACATACTTAGGTTTAGAGCGCTCATTCCCCCACAAGCCAGTCGCCTATTCCAGTCTCTTAGACATTCCTATCTTATCCATTTTTATCCTTTTTTTACTGCATTTGTTTTCTATTTAGTCCTATGCTCATATTTCTTACTTTGCTACTTTCATTTTCGTTTTCTTTTTTTCTTTCTTAACTTATTCTTCTTTCCTTATTTCTTTCATTCTATCTTTTTCTTTCTGTTCTACTCTCGTTCACTTTCATTGTGCTTGTCTTACTTTTCCCATTTCTTTGGTTGGCCTGAGCATATTTCTTCGAGTAGTCATAAGAGGGTAGTTCATTTTGTTCATGGCTCCGGACCTTCCGACGGGGGCTTCAGCACCCTTAGACCCTACGAACATGGTCTTATGTGCAGTCAATCTAATTGGGTGTCTACCTTTCGCGATTGTTGTATACTTTGTTCGCTTTCCTAAAAACGCTTCCTGAAGACATCGCTGACCCTTGAGCACTTGTGTCGGTAAAAACGATCCCATGTGTCGGTAAGGAGGTTGTGTGGGTAGTCCGTTGGCTCTGGGCAAAGTAGCTGCGTTTGCTTGTGTTCCTGGGTTAGCTTCAGTTGAAGTAGTATTGGTTCTTTTTATTAAAGTCTCTTATCTTTTGCGTCTTTCTTGTCGCTCAGTCCAGCTTCCTTTCGTGCCTGAAGTTTTTTCCCCGAGTCTTGGACGCAGGAGTCTCAGAACTCAGTTTTTTCCCTCAATTTCCAAAACGCGATCCTCTGGTGGACTTCGGAGGGAATTTTTCACAAAATTCTTTCCTACCTTCTTCATTCTTTTTCCAACTTTGAAGCGCCTTTCCTCTATTATCTCCAACGTTTTCCTTCGTCCCATGGATAATCCAACCAATCATCAGAAGTTTAACTTCATTTTACTCGCATGGCACATCAGAGCTTCTCAATTTTTCTCAGGGTATGTACTACTCATTTTGAATTTATCATCTAATAATTGCCGTGGTATTCTCATTGTCAGGTTTTCAGTATCTTTAATTTTATATCAGTTATTCGTACAATAAATTCGGCTACCGACTGCTCAATTGATATATGCAACAATATAACAGAGTACTATATGTATTCGCGATACAGCGGTATTTCTGGAAAAACCATTTAGCGAATTTTATTTTAATGGTGTGGCACATTTGGGTTTCTGACCATTAGCTGAAATCACTGGTAGCCACCCAAGTAGCATTTCCTTTATGTTAAGTATTTGACACGGGCATGTTCAGTATACAATACTTTTGCTTCGAGGAATTCACAGCACTTCTGTACTTGGCATAGTTTTTACACGTAAGTGTTTTTTAGGGGCATATTACAAATTTTTATTACTCAACGGGATATATTAAAAAAGTTCCAAACACTGAAATCTATATTGTTACAGATATAAAATGTAAATCCATTATGATGGCATATAAATTTAATTCGTAAGTCCACTTTTTTTTTAGAAACACAAAAAATAGAAATTTTAAAAGAAAGCGTCATCTTTTTTGCAAAATCTTTTCCGCCTTTTCTTATAGTTTTATCCTAGTTGGGCATGTGCCAGGTTTTGACAATCCATTAGTATTTTTTATGTAACCAACGTGAAATTTTTTCAGGAAAATCATTGTCTTCTCTTGGCATAGTTTTTTATTTTACGTATTTTTATTAAAATAACTCGTTGATATAGAAGTCCTCATTCTACTGTTACCATTTAAATAAATAATGTTCAACAAATTTCCGCAAGAGGCGCTTCACTATAGTATATATAGTTGAAGCGTAGTTGAAGCGGATCAGCTGATTGTTAAGCTTTCAAATAATTTTTAGTCTGTTTACTTATTGTAACGAAAATATGCAGTGGCAAGTGTTTCTTGATGCTATTAATTGTAGATTGCAAAGAAATGGTACTTTGAATGAGATTAAATCTATGAAGAAATGTGAATATGAATTGATGTCTTGCCTTTTGAATAAACAAGACGTGAGGTGTGTAGTTTTCTTAGTATTCATTAAAAATTATACTGTTTTCTAATATGTATTGGATACAAAATAAAATACTATACCTTTGCACTTTATTCTACTGTTTTTATTGTATAATTACAGAATATTTTTACAAACGTGGTTGGATGAACAATATAAATTGAAAGAATGTAAATCAGTAAACGAAGCAAAGAGACTGAAAAATCTGGGCAATAAAGAATTTTGTGATAAAAACTATGCATCTAGTATAACTCTTTATACAAAAAGTACTCAGTATGCACCATTCAATAGCGATGAATTGGCTATAGCAATTGCAAACAGATCGGCAGCTTTATTTTTTACAGGAAATTATAATGTAAGCATATAATAATATTTTTAAACATTTTCAAATATTTTATAAGGATCTACTACCAATATAACTACATCAATAACTGATTAATAGTAGAATTGAACGCTATGGTAGATACAATTTTTTAACACATCAATAATGAAAGCAATATTACGCCCATTTAATATTTGCTTATATTATATTATATGCTGAAATTCAATTGTTTTTGAATGCTTTACTTTAAATTAGTGTATGTTCCAAAGATATTATTTTACTATATCTAAAACTTTTTTTATCATTTGAAAATGTATAGATAGATAGACACACACTGAGTGCATGAAAAATATATACTTTGAAGGTGTTATGGTTTCAGATTGCGTAAACAATGTTAAAGGTAACTGAACAGTATGTGTTATTTGGCTATGCTCAAGCCTTTTTCTAGTTTTTCTTTTCATTATTCTGTGCCACTAAATATCACTCTTATTATTTAATGATTGCACATATTACTTTCTTCATATAGTCATTGTCAATTCTGGCCAGAACCGATGTACTTCACACATTTCAGAAAACCGCGTCGTCTATGATATGGAAAAAAATATTTAGGTAACACATATAGGATTGGAATCCTCGTGGGATTGTAACATACAATGCAAATTATTAATTTTGTATTATGTACCTTTATGTATCTAAGCCATATATTAATTAGAAAATCCTTACGACATCAGAATACTTTTCACTATCTGAAACGTTTTTAAATAAATGTTAATCAATTCTTTTTTCATGAACTCTTCTAGAAATATCAGACCTAAAGCTTCAGTCTTTTTTTAATATAATATATATTTTACATAAACTTTAGAGTATATTTTTATCGAGCACATGAATATCTTCAAACAGTGGAATGGAATCGTTCTAGAAGGTAGATGTGTATTTGATACCCACTTTCAAGTCCAAGTCATTACTTTGTGGGACAACAGAAAAGACGGAATTCCACTCTTATGACCCATAGTGGAACTGCGAGATCAGTATGCTTTTGAGGGATCAGCTCCTTCTGGCTTAGAACATAAAGTCCCTTAAATGTGACACTGATATTGCGGACCTTCTATAAGTACTCAAGGATTTGTTTAGAACTCTTACTATGAGAATTATCTTGAGTATATGCCACATAGAGTTAATGAATTCAAATTCTCTCTTATAAGTTCATTAGCCTTTTATACAAGATGATCTATGGCAAGAAGCAAAGATACTTGACTGTAACATTCTATTTGATAAAGGAATTCATTAACCTCATATAAAATCCGTAGGTATATTTGAAATTGGTGGTAATGTCAAATTACAAGATTATTTTAATTTTAAGATTCTTCCGGAGAGTAAAATACATTGGGTGAACTTTTCTGAGAAATACTCTGACAATGAATATTTCTCGTGAACTCGCTCTACGTGTTTTTGTTGAAGAATAGACGGTATTTATTATTTATGTTTAATAATAATTTGATGTAAAAAATCATTATTTAAAGTGGCCGTAGCTATAAGTAGTAAGAAAGTGAGGCTAGAATCTGATTGAGGGGTATGTTAACGTTAGATTCTTATAGTGGTTATACGTTTTTCCTCCCTTTTTTCAATAACCCGGAAACCCTTCAGCGGGATTCTCCCTTGTATGTACCACGCTAACCGGGACCATAGGTTCAAGCGCTCGCTATCTAGCCATACGGGATTCTGCAGTGTTCCAAACACTAAAATTTAGTAGTATCCATTTTCATATAAAAAGGCACCTGAGTTAGGTGCATCTATTAGGAAACAACATACACTTGAATTAAAAAAATTACGGAATTTCATCATCAGTTGATTTTGAAATACCATCAATATTGAAATACGCAAGATTAGGTTGCCAAAAAAATTACTGAAACACAAAAATTTAGCTTGAAAATAAAACGAAATACGGCATATGTCTATACGAATTTATTTTCTTATCTTTAATTATTGAATCTATACTTTAAATGGGTCCAACCGTATTATGAAACACCCTGTTATAAAATTATATTTTTATTTTATAAATGACACCATCATGAAAATACTATTTTACATATATTTGCAGTCTGCAAGAGTTATTAATGCTTATATTTTATATTACATGTTAGAAATGTTTGAAAGATATCGAATCATCTTTGAGGTTTGGTTATCCTGAGAAACTCCAGTACAAGATCTATTTACGAGCAGCGCAGTGTCACATAAAATTGAATAAAACATCCTTGGCAAACGAAGCTTTATTAAGAGTTCAAGATTTAATGAGAAAGTATGAAATCTTAAATACAAAAAAAGGTATGAAATTTATAGTTTCTCAGGTAATAACATGTTAATTGTTGTCAAATGTATCTTTATCTTTATCTTGCTACAAGCTGAAGGGGGCTAAGCGTCCCGAATGCCTAGCAAATACAAAGTAACAGTTGCATATTGACAATTTTAAAATTTCATACTCAGAGATTGAATAGTTATAAATTATCTGATATACGTAACTATTATTATATATAGAAGTAGGACATTTTAACATTGCTGATATGCAAATGTTACTTTGTGTTTGCTGGGTGTATTTTATTTTTCTTATTTATATAGTACTCAGTAAATACACCTTGTTACAGTTATATTTAAACATCATGAATCATATGTTATTATATAAAAGTTATGTACAAGATAAATAAATGTGTAAACGCATTTACTGATTATAATCAGAGTAGGATAAGAAATGAATATTTTTAAATTGCAGAAAATATCGAGGAAGAAGTTACTCGCTTATTATTAATTGTCTCAAAAATGCACGACGATAAGCCAGATGATAGCAACACAAATAAATTATTAAACAAGCCTAAAACGGCCTATGGAGATAATACAAATTTTGCATTTGCTTCAGCAGCAATAAGTCGTACGAGTGCTCCTGAAAAAGGGAGATATGTTGTAGCTAATAGAGACATAAAAAAGGGTCAAATTCTATTTGTAGAAAAACCTTACGCTTTCGTTCTATTAGATGATATAGAACCGGCTACGTTTTGCGGGTATTGCTGTAACTCCCATGAAGATGTAACAGTTCCGTAAGTCATTAAAATATATATTACACAATTTATTTATACTGCGAATATTCTATGCTTCATACTTCAAACGTTATTTTTTTATTAGAAAGTGCATTATTTATTTGCATACGCACTGCGCACCACATAAAACAAAATGTCCATCAAATAAAGTAAGTTTTTTTTTTATTATTAGGTGTAAAACCTGCACAAACACCATATACTGTAGTATAGAATGTTCAACTGCAGCATGGGATCAATATCATCAATGGGAATGCATTGCCAGTCAAATGAACTTGCGGCAACAAATTGGCATAGCACACTTAGGCTTAAAAGTTCTTCTTACAAATATATCCACTGATGAAATAGACAGATTTAATGAAATGCAAAACTTAGTAACGAACATCGAAAAACTAGCGTGGGAGGATCTTCTTGTATATAGTATTGTAAGTTGATTAACCCTGCATTAACTTTGAGCACTTAATGATTAATTGTATCATAATTTTTCAGACCGCAATGATGTTTACTTTGTATCTTTCGACTTACACAACGTTTTTCGAATTGGATTTAAAAAAGTGTATAGCCGACAAATTTGCGGATTCCAATCATCTCAATAATTTTGATATAAACACAGATAATGGTAAACAACTATACATAAGTTCACTGCTGCTGAAACATATTCTACAGTTGGTTTGTAATGGTCATGCTATTACAAAATTACAATTATCGAGATCGAATAATGATGTTCTCGTCACTGAGCAGCAAAAGAGGAAAGCCACTGCTATTTATCCTTCTGCTAGCATGATGAATCATTCCTGTGATCCGAATATAATAAACAGGTTTATTATATAATACTTTATAATTATTATATTATAATTAAACAGCCATAGTCCGTGTACAAGTAAAGCAGCTTTCGAAGGGGCCATTTTCCTATTACTTTTTAGATAAATGAGTCACTTAGATCGAATCATTTACTTGTGAAAGGAATGTAGTATTTGTTCTACATACGCAGACACAATCTACACACAGAAATAATAATATCAAAACAATTAATGTCAGTCGAGTCATGTCTGGATGGTATATCAATATTCTGATTCAAAATGCAATTAATTTAACTCGGAAAGTATTTATCCCCGGATACTGCATATCAAATCAGTAGCTTCTTTTTATGGGGCAATGAACAATTATTTTCAACAATATTGTATTAAAATGTGTACATAAAAAATTGGTCAATCTGTTATGTGTGTATATTTGATCTTTTCTTTCAGTTTTTGGGGATCATATCTCATCGTAAAATCAACCAAAGATATTACAGAAGGAAGTGAAATAGTTAATTGCTATGGTTTGTACATATCACTTTACTTTAACTATTATTCTGTTGAATCTCACTATTAAAAAAATAATAATAATGATAAAATTTCTTATTAAACCTCATAATTATTAAATAAAAACCTCATAATGCTAATTGTCAAAAAAAGTAATGATTTTTTTTGCTCTTATTATATATATTGTAATTCTTTTTAATCAGGTCCTCACTTCAGAAGAATGCCTAGGAAAGAACGGCAAGAAATTTTACAAAGTCAATATCGTTTTACTTGCAAATGTGAACCATGCACTAATCCGAATCTTCAATATTTTGTGGTAACTTTTGAAAATCATTAATAAATCATGCAAATGGTGAATATGTTATAAATATACAATATAATTCAGCAACAATTATCCTTTTATTCTAATTTTCAGGAAAGATTCCAATCATTAAAATGCTCTAAATGCAGTGGCCCTTTATGCAAGACTAATGGGTCATCAATGCACTGCTTGGGTTGCGGCGTATTATCCAATATTCTTTACCGTGACAAATTAGAGAAAGCTCAAAAACTGTTTGATTCTGCTGAAATTTGTATAGAATTGGACGACAATATTGCTGAAGCCTTAAATAAATTGAAGGAGTGTTTGACAATACGCAAGAACATACTCTATAAATATCATGATGATATCACATTGACTTTTGATGTAATAGGAAAGGTGTACGCTATGGCAAGTAAGTGTTTTAGTCCACAATACATTTTCAATATAAGAAAAATGATAAAATTCGTAATATATTCAGAAATCATTCGTCAGCTAATAACAAAACAATTCTACCATAGGATAATATCCTGAGAGACCGTGTTTTTAAATAAACGGTGTAAATCAAATTACTGTAAATTTTTCTATGAGAATATAATTTGGGAAATTGTATTAACCTGTATTCTTGCAAAAGAGTGCATAGCAGAATGTATAATGTTTTCTGATGTCATTCTTCGTGATTAATGAACAAACTTCCTAATATAGATTTAAAAGGTTAAGTATTAATACATATTAACTTTACAGAACAATGGCTTAATTCAACATTTTTCTTGGAACATAGTTTAACTAACATTGAAGAACAATTTGGACCAGATAGTGTAGAACTTGCTAATGAATTAAACAAAATCACTGATATTTATATTCAGTACTTGCAAGAAGAGACTAACACGCGTACAGAGCAGTATAAGTAAGTTTCTTTGTTATATATACATAATATATATATTAGTAAAAATAATTGTTATTACAATTTGAATTTATGATTAATTAAGTTAGCATTGATATTCGTTTTTCTATAAGATTCTGACCACAAACTCATATCTGATGTAACAAATAAAAATATGATATTGATTTTATATTTACATATAAAGAAAGAAAATATTAAATCGATAGGAATAGTAATATAATAAGTACTAATATTCTTCTAATTGAAAAATAATGGTTGGCTCGCCCTAATAGATTTTAAAAATACTGTTGGATTTTCCAGTAATTTGTTTAAAATATATTTTTAAAACTAATACTATCATATTTATTATATATACTCTCGTAATAAATCAGAAACATTTATGGTGTCTAATAGTTTCAATTGTTCAACGAGTTATATTTTTCAAGACGGAATAATTATCATGTTCATTATTCCGGTTTCTTGTGTTCTAAATGAATCTGGAGCACTATGTGATGAAAGATGGTTATAAAAGAAAGCTGGAATTATATGTGAAATTACTGTGCGTTTACTATACCAATAAATTCTCTTTTGACAGAAAGATACTCAAGAAAACTCAAATGCAGTTGAATCATGCAGAACGTATTATGGATTTGAATTATGGTCCATGGAATGATAGCTGTCAGGAAATAAAAATGAAAAAACAACAAGTGTCTGCTATATTAAAGAATGTGTGTACTATTTAATATGGACGAATATATTGATTTGAGAACATTGTGTCAATAAAAAACATTGTATAATTGCCTCATGATTTCACATTTCTTGTACTTATCGACATTAACAAATGTTAACAAAACAGAAAAATCAATTGGCCATCTTGAATTTCCAAACATGAACATCGTATAGAGCACTGACATACTTTACAAAATTTAATGTCGACATAAGCAGCTTTTTCTTGGGTCACAGCCTCATCTCGTCACAGCGGCCGATCTTATGCACTCACCATCACAAAATAAACGAGTTTCGCAGGCGTGGAATTTCCAGGCCGGAAGTACTGAACATCTTCAAATATCACTGTTTCATTCGTTGTATATTCGGAATTTCGTGTTTATTGCTTCAACCCGAACAGTTCAGTAATTTATGCTAAATTTTTGGGAATAGACATTTGCGACTACGAGCAGATACACATATTTGAATTGAACGGTCTGAGGTGTCGATTATGTATCACCGAACAAAGTGAACTCTTGTAAAGTATGTACATGGCTATCAATCGGTTTCTTAAACCCGCCAAATAGTTCTCTATAAGAAATCACTTAGAGTTTTAATAATCATTAAATGACCATTAAATCATAATTAAATACGGAAAGCAGTAATCATGTAAAAGAGTAGCGAAAACGTTACAGGAACTTTTGAAAGTACAATTAAAATTATGGGCCAGTACTAGATCATATAATATGCAGATATGTAGTGACTTGTGTACTTGGCATTAATAATGTGATTCCAATACTTTTTGTTAGAGGAATTCACAGCACTCCTGTATTTAACGTAATTTTTGACACGTAAGTTTTTTCTTGGGTATCCCCTCTCACGCGAACATTCTTCGCACCTGTGGCGCAATTCAACATATTGTTGTAGTAAATTAAAGTCAAACGAGACTATCTAAAACCAATAATTTTATACGTGGCAATACGACGTTTCTTATTTATATAGAAGCTTATACACCCCACGTGGCACGGAACATATTAATTTATTTGTTTAAGATATCTATAAATAATATATATAAATCGAGTGGGCTAAATTCACATATTCAGTACGACGCGCTAAAGCAGGGCAATCAGTACATTGACCAGTGGCTGAGCGTTGTCTACAATATCCAAAAAAAGTACGAAATGCTTCATCAACGGAAAGACTATTTAATATTTAATATACTGTGTTATTCATCTTCAATCAATTACTCCTTTGCTATGTACTGTATTAAATTTATCACCTACTAGGCAATCATGAACTTGTCCGTGATCATCTGCATAATGACGACCCTCTTGGGTCCAACCTTGGGAAAAGTAATAATGTGCTATTTCGGAAGCTGGGCTACGCATCGTCCCGGAAAAGGCAACTTCCAAGTGTCCGACATCGAACCCAGTTTATGCACGCATTATATTTATGCATTTGTCGGTGTCACGGCAGAGGGATCTATCCACTTGAAGAATAAGCGGGACCATTTACCTACACATGGTGAAAAGAGTATGTATAATTAATATAATGATAAATAGAATTTACAAGTATAATGAAATCTCAATATTAATTTGTAACGTGCAAATTACCTGATTAATTAATTCTTCTAAGTCATGTAGATGATATCGAAAAATTTGCCGCTCTAAAGAAGAGGAACGGAGCAGTTAGAGGACTTGTTAGCATCGGTGGATGGGCAGGCACCGACGGCTTCTATCTTGTCGTGAACAATGCTACTTTACGTGCGAAATTGGTTAAAAATGCTGTTGCTTTTCTGGAAAAGTATCATTTGGATGGATTTGATGTGAATTGGGATTATCAAGGTCAAACTGGAGGTATTATTTATTATTTTATGAATCACAGAGTTTAATGCTTCTAAAATCGTTTAACGGCATGTACAGCTTTATAATTTCGAAAATATTACTTGGGCACTTGTAGTATACGCATTTTTGCACTCGAAATACCTCGAGTGCTTGTAAATGTATTTCATTCTTCATTCATTTGACTCGCGCTGTATCGTAGGAGTGGACCTTGACAAGAACTTCGTTGAGCTTGTGAAAGAATTGAAGGAGGCATTTGTAAAGAAAGAATTTCTTCTAACTGCTGCATTTGGAACTCTCAAACATCATGGAACTCGTGTATACGACATTCCAGCACTGATCGGGTAAAGGATTCGCTGGTTTTATTTTTCAATAATCAATTCATTTGTCTAGACATATTTTTTTTTACAGAAACTTGGATTACCTTATTGTCATGAGTTATAACTTGACTACTGCATCTTCCTCTAACGTTGTAGAACATCACGCACCGATGTTTCCTGCCAGTAATCAAAAGCCTAATGCTACCTTAATGCAGAACAATGTAGTAAGTGCAGCAGTAATGTACTGCCGCCATTTAATTGTCAAAGAATCTAAAAATATCTGAACCTTTCATAGAAAGCGTGCGTCGATTTCTGGCTGAAGAGTGGTGCTCCTGCTTCGAAATTGGTACTTGGATTGCCTCTTTATGGAAAAACATTCACATTGGCCGATGCTTCAAAGACTACACCCGGAAGTCCGTCAGCTGGTCCAGGACGTGCCGGCCCCTACACGCGCGAAGCTGGTAGCCTCGGTCGGTAAAATTAATTAGTAGCAATATTATACCATTTTAGTACACTGTATTTATTTGTGTGCTTATGAGAACATACTTTTGATTACAGGTTACAATGAGATATACGAAAAACAATTAAGTGGAAAGTGGACTACTGTCTGGGATGATAAACGGAAAGTGCCTTATGCTTACAGTGGAGATCAGTGGATAGGATTCGATAATAGAAGAAGTTTAGCGGTAAAAATAAATTACGCTAAGAAGCATGGACTCGCTGGCATAATGATCTGGAACATAGATACTGATGACTTCAGGGGAACTTGTGGCCACGGCCGTTATCCACTTCTTAACGCTTCTAGGGCAGCACTCAATTCTGTAAGTAGCTAAGATTACATTTAGTCGGTGGAAGATCCAATTTAGGTATTCGAATGCTCTACAAAGCGAAGGAATCATTTGTTTTTTGGTACAGCCACAGAGGAAGGAAGAAAATTAAACGGACGCCATCCTATACGTAGATATCTACGCATGGTGCCAACATAAGAAATTGCTTCTTAACATAGGCTAATAATTATGAATGTTACAAATGTCGCTCTACTGTAATTGCTGTGTTTCTTTTCAGACTGCGGTTATACAAGAAGAGATACAAGAAGATGTACAAGATTCAAATACTCCATAGAACTATGTAATCTTTATGGGAGATGGATTGTGGGAAATAAATTATGCATTATAATGTTTTCTGATTTTTTTTACCAACATCCAACGATATTATGGACTACTATTGACCATTTGTACTTTTGTCAGATACTATTCTATCAGACCAGATACCCGGTCCATATCCACCCCAGACTAGACATCTTATGAGATATGGTATCACGCGAGCCTGGATGTCCCTAACATCTACAGTTGGACGAGGCTATTGAAATTCTATATACAGGGTGTTCATTATGAAACGCACTGTAGTAACAGCGTTACATTCCTTTTCAAATTCTAATGAATACGTGTATTTTCATTTTTTATTTCATATATAAAAATTTCGAGATAATCAAGGTTGAAATTGCAGTAATGCGACCAATCAGAACGCGTTTAAACGAAACGTAGAAGACGTCCAGAGCCAGCCCGCAAGCCCTGCTTACAGTAGGCCAATAACACTAAGAGTATCGTCTCTTGTATCTTACTCAATTACATGCAGATAAACAGGGACACAACGACGATACTCTTAGTGTTATCGGCCTAGTGTAAGCAGGCCTCGTGGGCTGACTCGCGACGTCATCTACGCTCCGTTTAAACGCGTTCTGATTGGTCGCATTACTGCAACTTCGACCTTGATTATCTCGAAATTTTGATATATGAAATAAAAAATGAAAATACACGTATTCTTTGGAATTTGACAAGGAATGCAATGATGTTACTACAGTGCGTTTCATAACGAACACCCTGTATACATATGTACTCTACATATGAGAATCGCGAGACACATAATACACAAACATGTCTGACCTACTTATGTTCAATCAAAAATACTAGTACCCGTCTGTTCATGGATCATTGTCCAATTTCTCGAAAATATTTACGATAGGTTTTACTGACCCGAACATTTGGAGGTGAATTTCAAAATTGAAAAAAATTTTGGATCGGATCAATCTTTCAGTTTTGATTTAATTATTGCAAAATTACTGCTAAGGTTGGGAGAGAATCTCTATCACAAACCTGTTGCTTATCAATTCTTTTCGTTTACATTTAAATCGTATGGGAATCATGGGTTCCGAGTCCCTTTAAATTAAATTGAATAGAAATAGAATAATTAAATAGAAAATTACCTGTATCGATAAGAGGTACGTCTGATACTTAATAATCAAAGATAAAGCCAAAAGAAATGAAAAGAATGTATACAAATATAAGACTTGAAAAAAAAAAGATTCAAATAAGACAAACAGTCATAAAGGCACTGATTTAATTCTGTTATCATTTTGCCAATAAAACGTGAACGGAAAGTTGAAAAAATTGAATGTAACTGTGTATCAATGAGATCATCGCTAATCACAAATTCACGTAAGGCACTACGTCAAAGCCAAAGAAACTTCCGTCTGGAAGACATCATTTAACGATGAATGCTATTCAAATATTATAAGATACTTAATTACTAGAAATAATAATGATGACATTATCTCTTTTTAAACAGTCTAAATTTAACCAACTTTGACACGCGTGTCAAATATTTGCACGTAAAAACTTGATGTTAATATAAGCGATGTTGCACGGAGTATTCGTGAAAGAAACACAATGGAAAGTGAGAGGGAACAGAGCGAAACATGAAGACAGAAGGGAAGATAGAAATGAAGAAGTTAAAAAGTAGAAAAGTAAGGAATAATGATATAAAAGTAGAGAAGAAATAAGAAAAGAGATAAATCAGAAAGTAAAGAATGAAATATAAAGAAATATAGAAGTAAAGAAGAAATAAATATAGAAATAGAAGAAGATTGTAAATGGATATGAGGGGTGCTTCCAAGAGACCAGTATAGGAGACCGGCTCGAGAAAGAATCAGCGCCGAAGTCTGGGGACTGCCTCGAGCGCTTCCCCCACCATCCGCCTGCTCCGACTCGCCGAGTCCTGCGCGACGAATTTGCGCGCACACAATTTTGGACAACTTCCAGTAATTCTAAATATGCTTGGCCGGAATTTCCGATTTCTGAGTGTTAATATTTTGCTTTATTTATTTAATTAATTATTTTAATGTTCCAAACACCTAATTTATTAATATTTGAATTTGAACGTAATTTATTTTCAATATTCTAGAATTTCCATTCAATTTTTATCTACTCCGTGTATTCTGCGAGATTTTGATGTAGCCTCAATTTTATATTTTGAATCAATTTTGAAAGTAAATCAAGATCTAATAATAATTAGTAAAAATTGAAGTGCTACACGGGTGCCAAGTTGGCACTGCACTTTCTTAAATATGTCTTGAAGATTTTTCTACAATAGGCTTTTTCAATAGTTCTTGAGAAGTTCTATAGTTCCCGGTCTCGTTCTAAGGGGTGCTTTGGGAACCAGCGGTGAGTAGCGGAGAACCTCCGCCCGCCAAACTACGCGTTCGTGTTCACGACGACGGAGGCGATGATCATAAAATCCTACTTCCAGACTCGCCACTACGATTTAGCGCCATGGTTTTGGTATCGCCTAAAACCGTAGCGTTGTGCATCTCCCTATTCATCTCTGTGCGACCATTTAAATTGAGAGTTCTGTTGCACTGGTGTTGTTGCATGTAGTGGCATCATGTTAACTTGTAACGTGACGTCGTTGGACCTGCGCGATTCGGACCAAAATACGTTCGCTAGTGGCTATACCTCGTCTATTTGTATCATGTCTTTGCTAAGGTCTTCAATTCCCCGTTTCTTCATTTCAGAAATATGTTAATATCTGTTAGATTATGCTCGGCGCTTATACTCAAAATATTAGGTTAATCAAAAAGTTCGTGCGATTTATGGCGAAATAAAAACATGTTAAAAATCGCACGCACTTTTTGGTCAACTTAATACATGATTATATTATTACTATGATACTCTACTGGTTTTTAGACATTTAATAAAGCCACGCAGATCAAGAAATTTATTTAGTTTCTACGCCTTCACAAAGTGTAAATGATGTTTTTATCACAATTATGCTTCACGTCTTGTAGATTTATTCTGGATTCGCAGAATACTGACGATCATTTTTTTACAGCATTGAATTGTATCTTTAGTTTGTTGTCTAGATAAAGCAATGATCAATTATCGAATACGATGAGTTTTTCATTTTATTAAATGGACTTATAAATGCTCCCCTGGTTACTGACCATTCTAAAAAAAAGAAAAAAATTGTTACTAATAGCTTCTTAAAATTTGTAGCTGCCTTCTCAAAAAAAAAGGAATATGTCAGCTTTTCAAATTGTTCATTGCTGCTCCAATTGCATCATCACAGAAATTTCTACAGGACCACTGATAGAATACTGATAAAAAGTAAGTCCTAACTCCGTAGGAGTTAATGGGTCGACTATCTTCTTGCGACAGACTTGAATTCCAAAGAGTTCAAACGTGAATTAATTTAATGTAGGGAGTGAAGTTATTGTAAGAGCATTAGTTGTAAGGAAGGATATCATAGTGCTCTGTACATACGTTTACTTTTACATAGATTGTTCCTTTTTCATTTGCATATTTCCCATTACCTTTTTTAAAGATGAAATTGAGGATGTAATGAAAGCTACCTTCAGTTAGTGATCAGCACCGAAATTTTCGTCACCATAAGATAATGCCCAACGCATACATAGATTTGTCTAAACCCAGAAGAGTGTTTCCTATAAAATGGAATCAGTGAAATTGTTCTCTCTCGCTCATTGAGTGCATTTAAACTATTTAGTAAAGGCCTCCGCCTGAAAGAATGAAAAGTCAGACCACTTTTGAATATAAAACGAATAAACTAATTAATGAGACTGAGTCATTTTTGCAAGCTCTTGGGCACATGGTATCTTCCTAGAAGGACAACAATATATTCATTTTGTTTTCATGATAATTATGAAATTACGAAAAAATTTATTCAGAGCACTATTGTGGACTAAAATTATTTTTCCGATTTATCACGTTTGTGATCCAAATATATATGGTTATGTTATATAATAGTCAAGAAATTTTGTTTTCTTTATTATTTACAAGATCGATGATTTTGCATAGCATGAGGCGCGCAATAGCAAGGGAGCCACAAAGGGTTCAGTCTAATATAAAATGTTCAACAAAATTGTTACCAGGCTTAATATGTCCTATATAAGTGAAAACTGTTATCGTTGGCAAATAGCTAATACCGAGAAAAATCAAGTAGCGTACAGTGGATCAATGATTTTCAATAAATATATACTATTCACATTATATATAGCAGTTAATTGTTATTTTCAGTTTGGCATAAGGACAATAACATATCTTCGTAATGATGCATATTTGTTTCAAAAGTCTCCAGCTGTTTCGTAAGATCTCCAATTTGTTCTGCTAATGTTCTTTCTTCCATGAATGCTTGAAGCTGTGGTGCTGTTTGACATTCACGGTAAAATGCACCAAGGTCACTATTTGTGTTTGTTCCTGCAAAAGGAGTTTTCTGCAACAAAATTGAACTATATTTTATTACATGCGATATATATGTTATAAATTAAACAAATTTGATAGTAGACGTTACATTAATACAAGTTTGAACTTTCACCAAAATTTAAGAAAATCTTCAATAAACTTTCGGTACAGTAATATTTGTTCGATTATATTGACGAATTTTTACTATTAAAAGATACTTTAGAAAATATTTGTTATATGTTTACTGTTGACAAGATCAAGTAACACTTCGTTTAGGAGGAAAAAAATATAATTTTAATAGCAACTGCAACGACAACGCATAATTACCAAGTCTACCATAATAAAATCATCGTTGGCACTTGTCATCGAGCAACTGCTTCTTCTGGAACCATTTTGAGAGTTACACTTCGGCATCGGGCTGTCAGTAGGCACTTTTTCATTGTTGCCGTTATTGTTGTCCGTTGTAACAGGAGTAGTTGCATCTGCAGCTTCTACAGTTGATGCTGGTGGCGGCGATGTTTGTCGTGGGATCAAAAGAGAACTGAATGGAACGTCAGGAATAACTAGGTCTCCCTCGTTGACCACAACTTGTTTATTGACAGCAAAAGCACCTACTTTGATTGTGTCGCTGAGGGACTTCGTATGGTTGTCACTATGACAATGTAACATATTGCATATCATAATCAAATTTCTGTATACAATGCTATTATAAAATCATACTTTCTATTGGAACACTTAAATAACTTGTAACTACTACAGTGAAAGTTTTTACATTGTCTCGCTAAAGACTTCCAGCAATCACAAAACAATTGAAGTTAAATTTTGATAATTTTTGTAATCTGCAGCAAATAATGAAATTGTACGTGATAATACAAAAACTTTACTTCCGTAACTTTATCTCGTATATCAATATACTATATCAAAAATTCACTTCTGCATTGAATGAACCATGAACGGTATATTATTGATCAGTATTTATGGAATTCTTGACATTAAGTATAAATGTGATTCTATGTGCGTACAGATATATCAAATGATAACATCTACAGGAAGAAAACTCCTCAAGCGTCATTTTCCTTTATTTTCAATTACTTAATATAAACATTTTTGCTGAGCTATGTACGTTATATGTTAAAAAAACTCAGGTCAGATCGATGTAGAATTGAAAGAAGTACTCCTTTCAAAATTTTTACAGTTGATATATACTGCAGTTTATCAAATCACATCAGGCTGCTATTATGCATGGTTTATTTTCTTATGCTTTCCTTCAAATTGAGGCACTTGATAAGCTTAAACAAATTTGGAGCAACTTCCTTATTACATGCGACAGTTCAGTTAATCAAGATTTTATAAATTTTATTCAAAATAAAGGAGAATAATGATTTCTATTCTAATCTATTTCTATATTTATTACTGTCCTTTCCCCATTAGCCCTTAGTGTTTGTCATGTTTACACTCATAATAAAATACAATTTTTAATTGTTCTCTGAATTCCAAACAATTACTATAGAATTAAAACAGATTTGTAATAATAAAAGTAAGTTTATCAGCAACAGTTGATAATAAGAAAAAGAAAGTTAATTAAATACAAATAGAAATATTTAGATAATATCAAAGTATTCAAATAATTGTATGACTAACCTTTGCTGATAACGAGCATGCCGTGGACTTAGGTCAGAATGGAAATGATCACTTTTGAGCATGATCGAGTCTCGGCCGGTTTGAGTAGGAGAAATAGTCATTTTTGTTCTATACGATACAGAAAGATGTATCGTACCCACAGGAGTACATAATTGACCTACTCTCACATGTTTATAGTTGTCACCTAAATAAAAAAAATGTGGAGTCTAACATTCATGATAGAATAGACTAACCAAATTAGAAGAAAAACGAAAAAATAATCAATCAAAATAATCATCAGATCAGATTTTATATACTGTTACCATAATTTTAAAGACTTCAGTAAAGTTATTATTCTTCACTTTCATTTAATATAAATAAAATAATTAGTGTTACAAAAAAAAGTAGGCTAAATGCAGAATACGACTTCTTGAAGTTAGCTGTGGATTGTTTTTTTTTACATGTAGCCCTTCAAGAAGGTATCGTATTCTTCAGTTTTACCAAAAAGTATTATACATACCTAATGTGTGCAACTGTGGTTCTCCCATATAAATTCTATAGCAAATAACATATGATTCAGGACCCTGCCTTCTACTTAATTTATATGCTGGGGTGATTCGAGTCACGGAAAGTAATGATTTTAATAAAATTCCCATTCTGTTATATACAGTATATGTAACTCTGATAGTTGGATCACTATGTTCTGGTAAAACTCCAAGGCTCCATGTTTCCAAAACCATTGTATCACCTTCCACAGTACGCAATGATATTTCTATGCACAGTGGTATTGTAGAGCTAACAATTTCCCCACATAGTGCACGTTTTGCTTCACTCAAAACATCAGGCAGATCCTGAATTGCAAGATTGAACTGTGTAAAGAAACAATAACCATTATTAATAGATAATAAACAAAATATATATAAATTGCATTAAAACGAATACATAATTAATAATCAAACAAAATAATCACTTTAATCAGATAGTGTTATGATCATACCCAATCAGTTCCTGAGGAATTGGGCTTGCACTTAGTATTGACCTTTTCACCAGATCTAGATTGGACGATAATTTGAGCAGCTTTCAATGCCAGGAACTTCGTAAATTTATCTAAATCTTTCTTGTCTTGCATATTTAATTTCATTGTAGACATGGTAAATTTGAGTATCTTACACCTTTTTCTATGAAATGACGAATTTTAAGATTCCACACGAAGGATTCCGATAGATACATATAGTACGTAGCATAATCATTTTAATGTTCATATACGAATTGACGAATGTTAAAAATACAAGTAATGAAGCGCACAAATGTTGCGATGCTCATTGAAGATTAGAAATAATTATAAAACGTCTGCGTAAAATACAATGAATACACAAAATCACATCACAAATCACGTTTAAATATGATTAGCACATAGTTTAGAAAGCTTGTCGTACTGCACAATTTTCCAGGATTCAAATAAAAGATCAAAAGTAGACATCGCTATGTCATACGTTTCATATTCTATGAAAACAATAATAATAACTCAACCAGTTAAAGAATGCCTTGCACAGCAAGCACTATATGGAATTTTGCGCCATATTGAAATGTCAAGCACTCTATACTGCCTCTACACGCCGAGATACTAGTAAAGAGGGTCAGCCCGGACCAACCTTATGGGACTTTGTGCCTGACGACTAGTAGGCATGGTGGGTGCGGGAGATATGGTAGAACTAGCATTGACTAGGCATATAAGTTCTGGAGAGGATCGAAATGCCAAACATCACGTTAGAAACAGAATACAAAAGGACTGGTCCTCTTTACCAATATATCCTTGGTGCTCTGCACCACTCTGTACCACAGAATAGAATTCACAGGAAAGCTTTCGCTTTCCAAAGACGGGACATATATTGGCACTACAAAACAAAACGTAAAGGTTGATTATTGGTTGGCACTAACAGAATATATTTAAAAAGACCAATGGTTTAGCATTGTGTTGGGTTATGATTTCGTATATGAATTACTAATTTTAACCAATCAGATGACAGATCAGATAAAGTAAACTGAATTTTTTGGGCGCGATTCGGAATTTGTATATGAAAGTTGTTTGCTACTCTAAGATTATTCTTCTTTTGAAAAGAAAACATGTTCTTGCATCTTCTGATTTGTACGGCTCTGGCACACTTCCTCATTGAAGGAGGCAGCCATAAGGGAAGGAAGGAAGGATTTGTGCGGCTAACGGCAACATTTTCAGGTTACAAAGAGTGCATTGCAAAACTTACTGCAAATACTGCGTACATGCTGTTTCTTTTTTATTGCATGTATTTAAAAAGACTTAATGATAGTTGCAGCAGGCGTCGTTTTGTTTTGTAACACATTGAATATTAAGGCAATGGCCTATAGTTTATATTGAGCAGCTCTAGCACCTGGCACTTTATGAGAACACAAAGCGAATAGGAACAAGAAGAAGATATCGAGCAGTTGATACTGGTTTTACTTTGTTACTTTGTGCTTAAATGATACTTCGTTTTGAGATATATTATTAATAATAAATATTTTAGATTATTCGATGCTTGAGAAAAATAAATGAGAAATCATAATCGTTTCTCGTAAAAAATCTATAAATAAGACGTTATTGCACAAGCAACCACCATGACGGACACAAAAAGTAACATATGTATAAAGAACCGTCTTATTGAACAGCCAAATTTCAAATCATTTGCTGCCATAAACTGAGTGTAAATAATAAACGATTTTTGTGGGATCAGGGATATATTTATTAACTTTCGTAATTAAATGATTCCACTTCCAGTTCTGCAAATCAAAATTTTAAATATGCCGCGATTAGAATTATTTGTACCGAAACCACTTGATTGGTTTAAACTCAAATTAACTTCAATACAATTGGTTAAAAAAGGCGTACCATTGAAATATATTTCAAAATCGCTTACAGATCGATGATATGAGCGAATCTAAGAAATGTTTGAAAGAAAACTAATTATTTCAATAACATCAAATATGCGAAAATTAATGAATAGCAATTTTATTAGGTAGAATCTTTTCGTTCATACGATTTCCAGTTTATAAAATCAATAAAACCATGATTGCTTTGCGCATGTTACAAATGAAAATGTAGGTTGCTCTCATATTTGCGAGGTTATGACGGGACCTCTGGAAGTGTAGATTTGACAGATCAAGACTTGTAAGAGAAGAAACAGAAACAATGTTTGAGGGTGCTGTAGCTGCTCTCCTCAACCGGTTTTTGGGAAAATACGTGGAAGACTTGGATACTGAACAATTTAATGTCGGGATCTTCTCTGGAGATACTTACCTAACTGATTTAAAATTGAAGCCAGAAGCTTTGGTAGGAAAATTGGCATTCATAATAACCGTTTCTGAAAATATATACTGCTTATTTCTTCTTTCAGTATCAGCTCGGATTACCGATAAGAGTGGAAATCGGTTTGATTGGGAAAATAAATTTGAAAATACCATGGACAGGCTTAAGTACACAGCCTACAACTTTGTCAATACAGGTACTTATTTCATACATTTATTGTGAATTAAAAAATTATGTATAATGCTTAAATTGCAAAGCACGATAAAAGGATTATGCTACTCTTTAGCAATCTCATGACCCTTCTTATGGTTTAAACATTAACATAAATGTATGGCTTACTAATGGATCGTTGTGCAGTAAAAGTGTAGAAAATCATGTGTGTTTATGAGACAAGTAGGTTTCATTCAAATATTTTGTAGGATATTTACATAGTGGCAGTACCGGCAACGTCTGGTTCTTATAATATGGAAATGGAAAAGCGTCTAATACGAGCAACAAAAAGAAGGATATTAGAACACTTGGAAGAGGACAGTTTCCTAGGCCCTGGTAATAAAATTTATATTCACATATAGTTATTATTTGGTATGAGTGTTGGGATATTTAGAAATTCTGGATTATGAATCATTAACAATATTTCTATTGCTTTAGGGGTACCACCAGATTCATTTGACAGACTGATAACATCAGTTATAAAAAATTTCCAGATAACTGTAAATAATATCCATATAAGATATGAGGATAGACTTTCAAATAATTCTCCAATTGCTTGTGGTCTTTGTATTCAAAGTCTTTCAATGGCCACTACAAATAAGTAAGTATATTATATACAACTTGATTATAAAATAACCTCATATTGATTTCTTATAAATGGTATTCATATATTTCATTTCAGTAAATGGAAACCTGGTGTAACATCATCTAATTCTTCATCCATGTACCATTTGGTACGAGCTGAATCTTTCAGTGTATACTTGGATTCGAATGCAGAACCATCTTTACCAACTTATCCTAAAAAATGGGAGCTTTCTACCTTACTTGCTTGGAAAACTATCATGTTTGAAGCCCTTCAAACATTTAGCATGAATAATCAAGAATTTCAATTTTGTAAGTATCTGGTAGTTTGATTGAAAAGTTTCTTAGGTAGTTTAATGATATAATTTTATGCTCAAGTTACTACATAATATACATCAAATTTGTATGGGATGTTTCACGGGTAGTTATGGACTTGGCCGTGACTTAACTTCAGCGATGGTGATTGTGATTGGTCAGCGATTAAAGTCATGACAATAAAATTTAGTTAAGGACCAGATCAGTGATTAAGGACTATCAATAATAAGATTCAAGTTAAATCAATTAAAACAAAGTCAAAATTGTAAGGAACGCTATTGTCATTGACCAATGAGCTTGATCGTTGCTCAAGTTAAATCACACTCAGATTCTTAACTTCTCGTGAATCACCCTCTATATCTGAAACTAATTAAAACATTTTATGAAAGTGGTGAAGCCCTTTACAACAAAAATAAAAATTATTATAAACAAGAGCAACGAAGCACGAGTACCAAGGTTGTTAGTCGACATAGTGTTACAAGATATAGCAACTCAATTTTCGGAACGACAATATAACATACTATGTCATATTTCTGACTCCTTACATCGTGTAACAATTATCAGGTTCGAATGATTGTATATTTAATTCAGATTTTAATGTCAGTTCATATTATGACGGTATGTATCTTTAGGCCTTTTCAAAAATACCGTCCTATCAAAACGGTACAAAAAAATCCTAAGGCCTGGTGGAAGTATGCGTACTCAGTGGTTTTGGATCACAACGTCAGACCATACACGTGGGACTATTTCTGGCAACACAGAACTAATTATAGAAAATACAAAGAGACTTTCTTGCGTACTCTCCGACAACCGAATGACACTGAGCTCAAAATGGATTTACAAAAATATGAAGACACACTTACAATAGTGAACGTTGTTATTGCACGGGAGCATGCTAAAGTTGAACTCAAAAAGAAGGAACCAGGACGTGTACTAGTAGATACACGTAATCCTACCGCTTTTCGATTACTTGTCAACCATGAGAAAATTCATGATATTTATATGCAATTAACCGACGTGGAAAGCCAAGAACTTTCAGGAATGGTTATAAATGCCGAAAAGCTCGAGAATGTGCCGAAACACATAGGTACGTATTAGATGATAGTGTTATTTTTAATCAATGTTATATCATTGCTCATTGTAGATGTTTAATTTCTTTTTTATGTTTCAGATCGAAAATACAATTTTTCCCTTATTAATTATTCTTTAAGTTTTTTACTTAATGATCGAGAGGTATTAGTTGTGACTTTAACACAGTTCTTGGCAAGTATTGAAACTCGTCCGGGTTTATTAGCTTACAAAGTATCTGCACGAGCTGAAAGTTTTGTCATTGAGGGTGCATCTGCAGAAAATGAGTTGGTTCCTCTGATTACAACTGACAACGTCTTAACGGGTATAAGAAAATACGTATAATTGAAAGAATACTTATCCTAAATCAGTTACTTAAATTTATTATTATCATTAGGGAATATGGCCTCCAATTTTTTGTCTGTCGATTTTGAAAAAAATCCAGTGAATTCCGATTATGACTATGATATATCAGTAACCTTGGAGCCTCTGGAAGTAACTTATCATAAGGTAATAGTCTAATATGACAAAAATAGGAACTCATTAATATTAGTTTTGCTCTTAATTCGTATTTTACATTATTTCTTGTATTTTATACTGATATTTAATATTTACTACTTTTATATTTTTAGCATGCCGTCAATGAAATTATAAAATTCTTTAAAACGGATGACATGCGTATTGATCGCGCAGTAATTGATATAAATGAAATATGCACAAAAAAATGTGCATCTGTACTAGATTCTATCTTTACACGACGATTAAGAGTCAATTTAAAGATGGATTTGAAGGGTCCATATTTTATTTTCCCAGAACGCGGATCACTTCAAAAGTATGGGGAATCTGTAGCATTATTATATAAATGTATATATTTCCTAAATCTATGAAAAACAAAGTATACTTGGTTATATTATAGGGGCGGAAATGTACTTCTATTTGATGTGGGAAAAATGTCTTTAAGAAGTGAATTACAAGCCACAGACGTGCAATTTGAGGATGCGACACTTATGGAATTGGAGGAAATACTTTATGACAGAATTCACATAAGTTTTGATGATGGACATGTTTTACTTTGTCATTCAGGTAGGTGAAAATTGCTTTATCGAAAGATTCTAATATTCACATTTTCTTAAATTTAATTATGGAACACTTTCTATTCTCCTTCCATGTAATTTTTATTTCATTATTAATTTCGTAATTTCGTTTACAGGCGATGATTGGCGTGATGCAAGGAAACGAAAAGATTCCGAATATCATTTAATACCAAAGATTCATGCAAACGTAACTTGGTCACGTAGTGTGAAACCTGAATATCGATCACTGCCACGGTAAGAATATAAAATTTATTTTAATATTAACTCTGTTTAATAAACAAGAATACGAATAGTAATATAAAATTTCCAGTTATAAAAGTCATAAAAGTCAACTTAAAAGAGATTTTCTTTAAGTAAAATGAACAATATATTTTGTAACATTAATATTAATTTTGGTGTATGACAATTCTCTTTTTTGGTCATTTATTTCTAACATTATTTGTTTTATTTTAAGACTAACTAGTTGGATAGGATGGAAAATCTAGACATAGCTTCGTTTTATAACTGTAATATTTGATTTGAGTTTATTTGGTTTAATTTGATTAAGAATGAAGAAATTCGATCTTTAACTTCATATTGATAAATTTAACTGTCGTTTGTTGCTATTCCACCACTGACTAAGCAAATGATTATATTATAGTATCAAAGTATAAGTATCTGCGCATAAAAGCCTGTTATATTTTTTTTTATTACAGAACCAAACTCAATGCAACTGTGTCAAGTTTTAAATTGAACTTATCAGAAAAAAAGTTCCAGTGTATCTTAAATTTCTTGGAACTGATACCAGTACCAACATTGGATAAATCTGAGAAACGCATATCTAATAAACAAAAAGCATTGAAAGAATTGAAGCGTGGAATTGCATTTTCAATTGATGAATTGATTATGATACGCTCCGTAATTGTCTTGGCTTCTACAGTTACGGGACAAGGACATTCTCAATCTGCTAAAAAAGAAGGGATGGGCAGCAACTGCAGCGGAACTGATGTCGAAGGGTATGCAATATGACTTATATGGTTTCCTGTATTGCGAAGATAGTCATTTATTTTTGTATTTTCTAATATTGCACATAATCTCAAATACTATGTGTTGTGCCATACCAGATTGGTCAGACTATTATACTGATGGAAACTTAATATTTTATAGTAATTTAATGAACGAACTAACTTCAGTGAGCACGTTTGTTCTCAATACAGTAAACTTTCTTCATAAAGCCGCTATGTATCTCATTCTCGCTTTCATATACAGTTTTATATATTATAGGGAAATGAGAAAGACACGATAGTGGCCTTATACAGAGAGTGTACTGTAATCATATACAATTATTTGTATTTCGTAACGATAAAACCGTTAATCAAGTTCAACCGTCACCACTATTTTTAACGTAAAATACATTCATACGTAGATTGCCCAATAAATTATTTACCCACGCGTTCATAATTATGACTGTCATATCTAACAAGGAAACCCCCCCAACCCGACCCCACCGATTTCAATAATTTTTTGATATGTTGCAGTACTCGACAAAATAAGAGACACGTATTTTTTTTTTGTGCTGACATCCACTTTAAAGGGATGAAAACGACCCCTGAAATTCACCCCCCAAAATCGTTTTTTTAATATATCTCGACTTCTAATTAATATTTGTTAATAAAACCAAGTGGAAAATATTTGTCATAAGAAGTCGAAGATATGAGGTTTGTTAATGACCCAAGGGGTTGCAACCCTTATTTTATATTTTGAAAAAACTATATTTTTTATGCTCTTTTTCTGCATAAAAACCGGGGTATGCGCTCAAAAAAATAAAGAAAAGCGTTTCCGTTAACTCCATCAAATATTTCAGTTGGGGTGTTTCAGGATTTTTCAAAGGGATAAAAACCACCCCTAAATTTTACCCCCGAAAATTGTTTTTTATCATATGTCAGATTCTAATTGATATTTTTTAAATAACTTTATTAATTCACTCTTGATCAATTATCACCAGGAGTGCAATTTCGTCGGAAATTAGTGAGGAGGATTTAGAACGATGGACCAGAGCAGTAGATCTTCCAGGATTTGATGACAATGTTTCTCCTCATAATCGTGTTAATTTCTTGATGAGATTCGTCATTGGAGAGGTAGGAACTCCTTGAAAAATACTTACAAATATTTATAAATTAATTATTAATACTTTACAATTAAATTATAGTTATCCGTTCATTTGGAACATTCTATTGATGGTACGGAATATCCGTACTTAATTTTGAGAATTTGTACATTATACCTCGAAGCTGCGATAATGGAATATGGACCTGCAATACAATTTGGAATTGGTTCCATACTTCTAGCAGACAAAACCAACGCTGGTGTGACAGGCTCGTATCTTGAACTTGTCTCAACAAATGGATCAACTGAAGTACTTGCTATATTATACCGCAAGGTACAATTTAACTAATTATCTCTACACACCACAAAGATTAAAAATGATGTAATATTTGTAATTATTATTTTTAGGTCAGAGCAAACTGTCCAGATTTTAAATCACACTTCAAGAGTATTGAACAGTCTCTGGTAATCGATGTGGCAACTATCAATTTTGTCTTTCATCGATATGCTTTGTTAAAGTTAAAGGATTACTACACTAATGTGGCTAGGTAAAATTTACATTTTCTGCTGATATTTACAAATATTTATTATAAATTATAAATCTTGCTTTAGAATCTGTAAGAAGAAGAACGTTGGAAATATTTTTAATGTAGCGCACTACAGTAAATTTGCTTTTTGGAAAAAGAAAAAAGATGATCCACCTATTCCACCAGGTAAGTAAATTTTTATTAGACAATGTTCTTTCTGTGTTACACCATTTTATAAAACGGTCAACTATTCTACGGGTATATAATATAATACACGTTACTAAAAAAAATGTTGTATACGTTGCAGGTGCATTGAAACTAAGTTACTCTGCAAGACTAAATACATTTATATTACGATTGTGCGATAGAGAAAATGATTTATTGGAAGTTAACGTCTCAGGTGTGGAAAGTGACTGTATTTATAAAGCCAATGAAAGAATGATATTACGTGCACATGTAAGAAGCTTAACTGTTGAAGATCTGACCGAATTCACTCTTTACACTAAGGTAATGCTTCAGAATTTTGATTACTTTGATGATTCAAACGTTTCTAAATTAAAGTGGTAAATGTATTTTACTTGACTAATAGCTTGTGACAACTGACGAGGATAAGATTTGCGATTTGAAATATGTCAGGCATACGCCAAAGCTATATGCATGTCCTGATATTGATACGGAGCAAGATGATGTTATGGCCGATGGAAGTTTCAAACTCTCGATTGGCCGAATGAATATAGTGTTTATTTCTAAAATTCTACATGAATGCCAAGTATGTCGTATCCATTTAATAAATATAATGACCCTAATTGAATGTTTGTAATGTCAGTCCTTTTTGCTACATAAATGCAATAGTGAAACTGCCATTCAATGATCAATTAGTTTGACCTAAAGGAATGACTGACATTTCACCACGGCTAATAATATACAATCGTTAAGACATTAAGACCAAGAAAAAAATTGTCAACTTACTATTTGTTGGTTTTATTAGAATTTCATGGAGCCATTTCTATACTTACTTTGTGAGCCTGTAATTGCGTCGTGTAAGTGTGTGTCAACTTGGGGAATACAACAATTTAGGAACAGTGGAACCAAGCTACGCATATTTGTCGATATTCAAGGTCCGACTTTACTATTACCTCAGAAGAAAGATATTCCAAATTTAATTGTCTTCGCTACAGGTATGAAGCAACAAATTTTGTTAAATTTTTACGTTTTAGTGGTTTGCGAATACAATAACGTTCTTTCAGGTGTACTAACGGCCGAAAACTTTTTCAAAGAAAAAGCGCAAATAAAACAGTCAGTGACTGTGAATGGAAACAATTCATATGCATCTATAATTGAAAATATTTTATTAAAATTAAAATCTATGACGATATCCAGGGCTGTAATGACATTGAGCGGAACTTTGGAAGTCCAGGTGCGAAAATTATATAATAATACAAACATTGTTCTTGATGATATGTAAGAATACTTATGTTTCATAGCATCTACTAGAATTGTTCAATAATTTTGATACCTTGCTATCCTAACACGAATAGTGTAATTCATTGCTTAGGGTCATTTTTGCTCTTATTAATGTCACAAGTTAATTAAGTTGAAACACTACGTTACACTAGTATTCTGCAGATTAATTGATTTGGAACGTCCTTTTAATATAAACAAATTTCTTTTACCAACTTAATCCAGTAACAATTTATACCTTTGCCAGGAGCCAATTTTAGAGCCTGTTAATATACGGTTTGATATAAAAAGGACTTCAGAATATCGAAGTACAACAGGTTCTCATAAATATGGTCTTTGCGAGGTTCGAGGTTCTATGGATTTGATCTCAATCAATGTTGGACAAAAAGATCTTATGTCTATGTTTTCCGTATGGGAAGATAATCTTGCGAAAGTCCTTGGTTGCCAAGGAGGAAGATACAACAGACAATCGTTAACGAATCTCTATTTGGACAATTCAATTGCCGAAGATGCGACAGTGAAGAAATTAGAAGTTTTCTTCGCCCAAAATGAGCACCCATCATGCGAAATTTCTACAAAGTTAACGCTGGACGGACTGCAGTTGTATTTATTCTCAGACGCCGAGGAGGTATATTGCAACAGACAAGCATTCAAGGATTTAGTTTTGCCGCGAGGTATTACATATTTTCAGTTACTTATTTAACCCTTAATTTATAATTGAACCTCATCCTGCGTACCTTCTCTGATTTTTTTTTTCCCAAGAAGTTTTTACCCAGTTAAGTTAAATTCCTTCCCATTTTTCATCTTTGATCATGTCACGGTAGTTCTATTAATATTTTTCATCGATTCGAAACAGTAATCATGAGAATCAGTATTATTAGCAATTTATCAAGAACCTTATAAAATATTACTATATATATCCTAGATTTTGAGTTCGCCAGTGCGTGATTTAAGTCATGGGCTCTGCCGACTTACCGTTGGTGAGATATCTTCATCCTTGGATATATACAATGATCACAGCATCAATATGAAAGTATCGGTAAAGAGCTGTCTCTTGGAAGATACGTGTAATGATACTAGCTCGGTGAAAAAGTAGGTATATGTATTCGTTTAATCTGAAGTTTATTGATAAATTGTTCCTAAATCGGAATCATTCTCAATTGTTAGGATAATTCAATCACCGGCAAAAACAATTGGAATGAATTTGGAATCACATATTTCTGTCTCGATGCCTCCGATACTTGATATTACTTTTACGCAAGCGTCAAGTGGAGATAAATGTTTCGATATGCTTGTGGAAGAAACGCGAATTAATTTGTCTATACCATTTATAATAAACGTGGGTCGATATTTCGCTGATGCTCTACCCGGTGAACAGGTAGACAAGGGAGTTATCAATCGCGGATACGATGGCGACAGTAACTTATTTGTACGTACAAAAATTACTAGTCATTTACTTTGTGCACCTTTATGACGTGTAAATTCAATTTAAAGATTAAATCAACCGAAGGATCAGATATACCAGCAGGCTTGGACCAGACAAATATTGGAAAACAAGCTTCTTGTATTTCTGCAGCATGTCTTGAAGAACAACCAGGTTACTGAAATATTATTATATTTTTCAGGGGTTTTTCTATTTTGTTTCTAATCATTATCATTCTGTATTGTGCGAATAAATATAGGTACTTCAATTTCGATAAGAATTCGCAAACCCGAAGTGTTGGTCTTTGGAGATTTGAAGGCGAACAATGCTCATGTAATATTATTTCAAGCGGAATTAATGATCGAATGTAGTCGACATGCTGGCTTGTCTTCGATTGTTTGTACCTTTTCGGATATTCGTGCCAAAAGTAAAAGTCAAAATAGATACTTGAAACAGTCTCCGCACTGGGTATTACAACCTTGTGATGTAGAGATTTGTAAAAAAGAACAATTATTGAACTACAACGTACAAATCACTGCTGCTGTGAGTTCGGTACAGATTCATTTGTCGGCTGGAATTATACAAACTTTCCTTGACGTAAGTTTTGAAATTATTTACGTTATTCATACTTGTCTAAATACATCATTGTTTCCCAAACAAATATAACGAATTGTTAGATGTTTCGGTTAGTTTTGAGAGATTTTTCACGTCGACTTGTACCCGCAGCCATGTATGTATACTGATCCCTTAAAACTAAGTGGAACACCTAACATATCACTCAGAAACATATTATACTGAGAATTCAAAGCTTCATTCCAATTTAATAATCAGTTCTAGATTCAAACCAAGTTGTGTTCTTATTAAAAAAAAATATACATTTGTAGACGCCAGACTAGAATAATTCTTCATAATGAATATAGTATCTAAAAATGAATAATTAATTGAAAATTGTGGTACTTTGAATTCTAGTGCAAGTTTCAAATTTATCCGTTTTACCATATCTGTTGCAGATAACAAAAGAAGCATTAGTATTTCTCAAATGTAACGAGGTAGAAGCCAATATGAAAGATTTATATCAAGAGAATATTTCATATGCAGATCTGTGGTCACAGAAGAAAATTTCTTGTATACCATATAAAAAAGTTGAGGAAGGTTAGTACATTCCCTATTGAATTCCCTATTTATTAGTGCGATCCGTTTGATTAAAATTGATTACATTCATTGATCACAGAGTTCTTAGAGAAATCAATACCATATGAAATGGAGGATCAGTGTGAAGTATTAGAGCTTAAACCAGTATCCATAGATATAATGCTAGAAATGGAAGACACAATTGAAAGACTTCCTGCAGCAAAAGCAAACTGCGAGATTAGTATTACTATTAAAGATTGGAGTCACAAATTTCAAATGTTAACGTCTTTAAAATTGTATGCTTTTTGCTACAACGTTGAGTACGGAAATTGGGAACCGTTTATCGAACTTTGCAGCACGGATGGCGTTTATTACAGACCTTGGGAATTAGTGATTAAAGTGAGTAAATACATTATCCACTAACATAAAAGGAGCATATTAATATACTATTTATGAAAATATATTGCATTGAACATTTTTAATTTGTAATACATTGCTCGAGGGTTTATTAACGGATCCGTTTTATTAGGCGTATCAAGCAGATGCTTATGCATTGAATTCTGATTGGAAAATTTCAAAGGATCAAACGAACGAACGCTTGTCACGAAAGAAAAAGAGGGATACCGAGAGCAGCGAGGATGAGGCTAACGGAGATATGGTATTTATACGACCAGAATATGTTGTTTCATCGAAAATGAGAGGTACTATTAGAGAGAATAAAATATTTATTCGATACGAACAACTTCACTATTTTTGGATATAATTTTGTGATTCATATTTTTCTATTTACAGAACCAATATATAATAGGGAGGAAAATGATGATTCCGATTCAGATGATCATGGAGAAATAGGAAAATTAACTCGAACCTTCAATCGATTATTTATTAAAGATAGTAGTGATGGAGAGGGTAGCGATAGCGACGAATCTAGTAAGTGCGAAGACGAAGGTTTAGAACAAACACCAGAACACCATGCGGAATCACGTAAGGCTACTGATTAATTTTATTCAATTCTTAACGCTTGCTACATTTATTTTTATATGTTTCATAGATTGCTCCGTCCCTGAAAATACTACGAAGTTGAACCAGGCAGCAACTTACATTACTATACATGCGGAAGATAAAATAAATCTGACAGTTACACCAAATACAATCGCACTTCTAGACACGGTTTTAAATATTTTTTCAAAAAGCAAAAGTGGTATTCCAATTGTAATGATGAGTACAAGACAAGTTAACTTGTACAATGATATTGGATACCCGAGTCGGATTGAATTACTTGTAAAAGAGGAAGTATGTATTGTGATTAAAGTTATTATTACTGAGATACGTATAATCGGATTGTGTTACAAGTTTTACAGTCAGGGATCCTTTTTTATACGCTATAAGAAGATGACCCTTGACATGTGGAACTGATCTGACAAACCCGGTTCATGTAACAGGAAGTGATTATTTATATTTTTCAGAGTCACTGTAGCAACGGACTTCGTTTAATTGCAGCACGAGAATTTCAGGTCCCTGATTCTCCAACTAGCGCTCCAAGTACTCCAGAATCTGACCATTTTGCTATTAGTCCTTCTAATTTTGCTACCATAGAGAACGACCTTTCTGACCAAAGTGGTAGTATTTCGTATGATCGTAACAGACAATCTACATCCTTTCAACCCTTTCCTGACAACAGTGTCGTGGATATCTATAAAGTGATCACACAAGAGCGTTTGAAGGTAGTCATGGAAGGTATGAAAATATATCAGCAGTAACATTGATATTACTGTTTCAAACTTAGTACTGGATATTGTATTAACTTGTAATATATCAGTTTTATTACTAATGAGTATAATGTGAATATGACATTCTAGTTTTAAAATTATCCTATAATTCTGTTTCTGTTAATTAGAAAATAATTGGATATGGATATCAATAAGTTTTAATAACTCTGCATCGTTTTAGGTTTCGATGAGACAACATTTTATTGTCCAAAAAGACAAAGATGCAAACTAATTCCACTGAGTCCTGTTAGACATGGAATCCGATACCATTTACTTCTCGAAGTAAATATCGATCGTCTTCTTCATCAGACAATTACAGTCCGCACGCCGTTGCAGGTATTTTCCTTTTTACATTCTGTTCCTAGAATGAGTCAAAGTCGTGGTAAAAAAGTATTCCGTTGTATAACAAGGCAAAATATGAGTTTCTACTCCTTCAGTAACAGCTATCAAATGTTTGTTTGTAAAGAAAATCGCAATAAATAAGTTTTTCTGTTTAAAGACACTTTTAAAAGAGATTGTATACGTCTAAATAACTGACTTGGTACATAGAGAGCTATAAGAAATATACATATAAATAAATGCTATATGCATCTGACAAAATTTATAAATTATGTAAAATATGTTCTTTTGAAGAATACTGGATTCTTACCCATAGTGTTATTTGCAGAACTGCTTAAACATCCGATAGAAAGAGATAGAAATTTAAAAACTTGAATTAAAATATTACAAAGAAACCTATAAAATGTATATGTTTCTATATGGTTTATGGTTTAAAGTTTATACATTCGTCTCTGGTTCTATTCAACTTGTTGAAGAGGGAGTTTATATAAGCATTTGTAACAGTAAGTGCCATATTATATAATTACAGATCCGCAATGACACTACATATGCACTTGGGCTCTATTATAAAAAAGCACTATTTAAGAAACTGGATTTACCTTGCGTTGGAGAAGCTTTGAATCCATTTGATGATAATATGAGAATGACTATTCTCGAACCAGATCATGTCTATAATGTGCCATTATATATTGCTTACCATGTACCAATCTACATATTGCCAACTTACGCAGAGTAAGTAAAATACTTGAAGAGAGCTTCGAGATTCTCCAAGTCTCTTGGTACGTTGATTTAATGAAAAAAATAATGTTTTTTGTCATAACAATTTACTTCTAGAAAGTATCAAGTAAGCGATAGTGGAATTTGGTGGAAAGAATTAAGTGAGAATATGAATAGCGCTAAAGATGTATATTGCTATGGGAAGGAAGGAAAAGATACTGCATTATTTGCAGTGAAAGTTATATATGTGGAGAAACGTACCGTTACCAATGCAAATTCCCAAGTTCCACAATGTGAATTAAAAATTGTACCACCTGTTATATTTAATAACAGATTACCGTTTGCTGTAGAGATGAAAATACCGAATGTCGAATATAACGTTAGAATTGAACCTGGAGAAAAAGTAAGCGCATACACGGTGAAGTGTGACAGTGACCATCGTTGTAATCTTGAGGTTTGGAATTATTTTGCCGATTATAGGTGACCGTAATAAAATAAGATACGTACTTTGACTTATTGAAACTGTATTTCTTAACAGATTTATAGTTATCTAGGCTGTCAGTGGAGTGGTACATTCATGTTAACATCAGAGTTGGAAATGAAATTTGTGAAAATGACTGCCGATTGTGAATCCGAAGGAGTTAAATCACTGGTCCTTTGCGTAGAATTAAATAAATCAGAAAGCTGGGTGATCACTATCTATGCACAGTATTGGATCGTTAATAAGACCGGATTACCTCTCTATATACGAGTAAGTGTAGAAATACTTTCTTTTCTTCTGTATAGAAGGTAGTGAGCACAATAGAGAAATTACGTTATATAACGATTATGTTTAAAAAATTGAAAAAAGTGACAAGGGAGATTCACAAAATGATAACTCAAAGCGATATAAAGAGCTACTTATATTGTATCCTTATTTTTGAGGGAAAAACGTCAAAATATATTCTTAAAGATAAATACCATTTATTTTATTGCATAGTGAATTGGTTTAAAAATTATTGCCAAATTATTTGTAATACATTGAAGTATCATGATGACCTCGGAAACAAAGACGTTTAAATGGTAATTTTCCTATATTTTCTACTGTTTTACTAAAATGCTGGTCCTATTAGATTTGCCTTGATTACGATTATAAAAAGATCTGCCATAAAAATTTTCAATAAGTACATAATTCAGAATCTAGTTTATTATGGGAATAAGAAACTATCTAACTTCTGTAACGTATATCTTTTTCTTAACTCGACATCGATAGCGAAAAATCCGCTCATACATCCACAAGCCAGGCGGGCGCCAGCCAATTCTTTTTTCATCGGGAACTGACGAGCCGGTATGAACTGGGAGTTGGGGTGGAACAGGCCCAACTTCACCAAAATGAGAGCTCTTACGGAACCTATCAGATAATGTGATAACTTAACGGATCCTGTCGATTTTTGGGGACGCGTAAAAGAACTGGGAGTTGGGGTGGAACAGGCCCGCGGGCGCCAGCCAATTCTTTTTTCATCGGGAACTGACGAGCCGGTATGAACTGGGAGTTGGGGTGGAACAGGCCCAACTTCACCAAAATGAGAGCTCTTACGGAACCTATCAGATAATGTGATAACTTAACGGATCCTGTCGATTTTTGGGGACGCGTAAAATCGAGAAATGCAACCGTAGGTGCTGATTTTTGGGGTCGCGTAAAATCAACAAACGCAACTGGATGCATGAGCGGGAGCAAAAGGTTACAAAAATGCACGGCCGCTCAGACTGCTAGGTTGAGGTAAAGAGGGTTGGAGTAAGAGTCAGGCAAATAGTGCGAGAGACAGCGACAACCGAACCGAATTTGAACTATCTAATCGAAATCCCTTCACTAATTAATAAATTCGGAGTCCTCACCGGAGCTGGTGCAGCTAATCCGTGAAGGCCGCGAACTGTATTCAAAGGACACTCAGGAGGGCACTGCACTAGGGCACAGCATTACACCTTTGGAACACTCCCAGAAAATCCATAGAACTTCCTAGATATCGCGAGAACTACATGAACGTGAACTTGCTATACCGTATCGAAATACGGCTAGAAAAACGAACAACAGATAGCACGGGAGCGCGAGCCAGTTCGTGACACTTCGGTCGGTGCCCCGAGACGGACTGCTTTTATAATAGCCAAATTCAAGAACTAATCATTCTGATTGGTCGAGATCCTTATAGCCGATAACTCTTCCATTTCCCTCGAGTCGTCCCTTTAAACCAAATCGAGAGCGTTCCTTAGCGAATCGGTACGTAACTTTTGGAGAACCTTCACGGCCGCTTCCCCAGGGCATCGGGCGACAGCTGGACACCACATCCTTAACTCGGGCAGGAGGGTTCCTCCTCTGCCCTTAACCGTATCAAAACTATATCTCCACCCACTCTACAGCCCTTTGCCCATCTCCAGCAGAGCGTCGGTATCTCACCCGGGCTTCTGCCGGTTCGTGAAGACGTCTCCGTCGGGTACTCTCGTCTGCCGGGCAACTCGGTACGTCGAGACTATCTTCCCATGGCAGATTCGAGCACGTCGACCACACAATAACGAAATCTTCCGAGAGCATTGGCATAACTATACAAATCAACCCGAGAGCGTAGTTTTTGAGGAGAGTGGCGACCCGAAGGGAATCCGAAATCGAGAACGTTATCTGTATCGGTAGCCGGAGTCGCCTTCTGACCGTGAATCGAAAAATCACGTCACACTTCATATGAATATTTCTTTAATTTCTATGAAATTTTGCTCGCATTAAAATGAGATAAAATACTATAAAGTTAATTTTTCTAAATCCTTTTTGTGATATCATATATTGTGTTATGACAAACAAGATAATACATATGAAATATATTTTAATAACATAAATGTATGTTATAAACAGCTTTCTGTCCAAATGTACCGATTAAAATTAATTTTATAATTGAAATCAAATGAAAAGACTAACATGTATGTATAATCATTGCATATCTGTTACGCAGTTCTCATACTAATATCTTTTGGTAGGAAATACGATCCAATATAATTTACGAAATCCCTGGAGAAGAGTTAATAGTATTTTCACAAAAGAAAAGCAGAAGAAGGTTGGTCAGACTACGAGCTCATCAATCAGATTGGTCAGCAGCTTTTGGACTGAATGCAATTTGTTCTACGTCTTTAATTGTATGCAAAGACGGAGAGCGAAGACGAAAATATAAAATTCAAGCAAAAATGACAACATCGCATTTCTCTCCGCTGCTAACGAAGATTTTAACATTTCTACCAAATTTTTTGGTGATCAATAAAACGAAGCGCAAATTAAGATTTATGGAGGAGAACGAAGAAGCAGATCTATGGAACGATCTGTTACCAAGTCAGGCAATTGCATTTTGGCCGTGTACAGAGTCAATGAAGATGCGTGTTAAGTGGAATAATAGTCAATTGGTGTCACAACATTTTGATTTTTCGATGGTTGGAGAAAACATACTAAGAATGGATAATGGGGTAAGTCATCCTTTTATGAATTCAAGAAAAAGCGTCGCAATCTTGCAACAGTTAGTCTTTTGTACTAATTATACGTCTACCTTACATTCATATTGTTTTTGCACCAAACATCTTACAGTGTTCCTGTTGATACGAATTATAGCTATACGATGCTTTTCACGCTATTGTAATAGATTATGTCTGACAAGTAAATAAATTTTTAATATTTACATTACAGACAGCCTTGTGTGTAGAGGTACAACGCAGTAATAACTCACCATTTAGCATAACATTCCGACGATATCAAAATGGAGATGCTCCCGTCAGGGTTGACAATTTTTGTGAAGACTTATTCTTAAAAATCCACCAAATCAACTTAGGCCAAGTTGCTCTATTGAGTCCTTTTCAAAGTCTTCTTTATACCTGGGATGATCCAAGTAAAACCAGAGAACTTATTTGGAACGTGTACGACAATAAAACTAAAGGCTATAAAGCTCAATTTCAAACGGTAAGGTTTTGAAGCTTAATTGACTTTAGTAGTTCGATATTTTAATAATTTATTAACATTTATTAATTTGCTAATTCACCAATAAAAAAGAGAAGTAATGATATTTATATGCTATGGTACTGTTATAAGAATCTCCATCTCTTTGTAATCCTAGTAGATATTGTTAAATAATGAAAATAATAATTACAGGATGGATATGGACAAGAAACAGTTTCATTTCGAACTCTAAAGCGAACCACTATCACCGACAGTTCTATATCTTTTTCGGAGAAATTTACTTCCAGCACGAAGAGTCCAAATTCAATGACAGGGCAAAGCAGTAGCGATGATACTGATAGCGAAACTGAATTAGAAATATCGAGCATTGAACAAGTACGGAAAGATAGGGCGATTGTTTATTGGGTTAGCTTCAAAGAAAAGCACCAAAGAGTTTTACTATTCACACAAGATGAAAACATATTTTTAAAGGCCAAATTTATAGTAGAACCAGAACCAAGTCAGATCGAAGTTTTCTGCTCTCTTGCTGGAATTGGCATGAGTATCGTTAGTATCATTAAAGATTAAATATTTGCAATTATACAGTTGCTTGAAAATATAGCGCTTTAAAACAGTTAGCCTGATGAAATTAATTTTTCACAGGTTGTGCATCATGAAGAACGACTACGAGAGCTGGCATATGCTGCTATAACAGATTCTGCTCCACATTGGGAAGTTTCCATTGGAAACCGTTGGAAAACTTTAACTTTGGAGCTAAGTGCATGGATTGAGGATAAGTGTAAAGCCTCCTTAAAGAAAGCACAGCTAGATAATTTCATAGATGTAATAATCGATTGTTACTTTTATAACATATATAATTATTCGTTAACCATATATTACTTAAATTTTATTTACAGATCGATTTTACAAAGATGCACATGACCAAACCATTCTTTGGAAAATTGCGAAGAACTTATTCGCCAGGTATTTGGTTTCACTATAGGAGCTCGTATTCCAACATTTATCTGCAAGGAAAGATTTACAGAGTACAGGTGATTTAACATACTGTTGTTATTCAACCAATGAGATTCACGTTATGACATCGTTTGCTTTTTCTCATCTAGATTGACAATCAACTACGAGGTGCTCTATTTCCTGTAGTTTTGTCCTCTGATTCAAAACAATGTTTTGCGAGTAATGTTACAAATCGTAAACTTAAACCAGCCGTGGAACTACTTTGCGTAAAACAAAAGAAAGCTACTCATGATGTGTATAAGTAAGTGTACTACGTTCTTTTTTTTTCAGAATATTTTAATTAATTCATTAAATAGTGGAATTGTACAATTCTAATAGAGCATATAGCTCATAAACAAATCTATTAATGTTGTGTGAATAATATGATTTTAAATTCAACACTGACTAGACGGGTCTCTTTATCTTTTTATAATAAAGCGTTAGTTTTTTACACAGCAAATAAAAGTACACTACTTTATAACCCATAAATAAGTACTTATATTCCTTATTAACTATTACAAATTATTACAATATTATAAATTTACAATTTATGTAATATGATTTGAATTAACTACGAAACTTATAAGCAACGTCATGTTTTTGCATTCATGAATTTGCAGAAAAATTATCATTGTTGTTCGCGAGTTTACGCTAAAGTTGCACGAAGAGTTTCTCGTACGCCTCCTAGACGATCTGATGCCGAAAAGAATCGAAACGAAATTTTCTGTCGCAGCAAGATTAAGGAAAGATCTCTCTAACATTCATCATCCTCTTTACTGTACAAAAGAGAAGGTACATTTCTTATATATGTATATTTTGTTAATTATTGTCAATTATAACATTTTTATATCACATATTACAGATTAACGACGGGCGACACAAAACCGTTGTAGAATTCTTTCATGTCTCTCCTCTTAAAATTTATCTGAAACTATTGGCAAGTGCAGAAGGACTTAACGCTCGCCTTTACAATAGTACGTCGAGCTATTGCAGTTTCGTGAGGTTTCTATTCGAATATGCATGCAGGGAACCGTTTGAAAAAAGTGCTGAAATCAGGTAAGAGTTCATCACTATTTTTTCAATTATTAATATATTCTTACTATTAACAACACTTTAAACCATCGACTATAGGATACCTCATTATGAAAAAATATATATCACGGTAGACATTGATCAATTTTTAAAAAATACTTGGGAAAGCTATATTGGTAAAGTAACGCAACAGTTCAACGTGTTAATTCTATCTTCTACTGTCTTGGGCAATCCTTATGGTTACAATTTCAAAATAGCAGCAGATAGCATCTGCGAATCAGATTTAGTAAGTATATCTTTAATATATTGAATCATCATAACTATCAATCAAGTCAATCGATTCAATCATTTCTATACATCATATGTAAAATGATTTAGATTAATTTGACAAAACTCTAAGAGATGCTTAAACCGATTAGATTCTGAAGAAAAAGTGTCTAAACTATTTAATAGCTTTATTATTAAGATATAAACCGATTAGTCTATAAGCTAAGAAATAACTCAAGTATAAATTGCTATACAAACTGCGCTAGACTTTCAGCAACATACTTATTCCTGCATATAATTATACTTATTTTTTTATTTAATTGTGATATGAATTATGCAATTTTTAGTTGCGACGTGCTTACTTTTCGGCTCAGCTTCATTGGTTCTGTATCTGTTGAAAAAATCGTTCCCTGAAATTTATGATCGGTATTCTGTCTTCGAGATATCTGTGTATACATGTAACTTGAGAGAACAAATGTCACGGTTTCAATAATTAATTTAGGATATATCAATATATTTTTCTACAGATTCCAACAGGCGAAGAGATTGCTGATAAACTGAGTTACGAAATTGCATGTCTTTTGGGAAACTGTACAGCTGATGTTACGCAATCTTCTCTCTTGAATTTTGACAACACCGAGCATTGTGCTATACGTCCAAAGGTGAATAATGGTTTTATTATAAAGTTATATAGAATTATGAAAGTAGTTGTTGAATGAAATTTATTTGAATTTCAGGACAAAGCTGTAGGATTTGAAAGCACCCAAATACCGTTAACCGTTTTAATGGCTAATTCTTCTTTTCCTATTGGCGTAGAGTTAGAACTTTCCGGCTTAGTAGTGAAGCCTACAAGCAGTGAGTAAAAGCATATATACAAAGATTTTAGAGAATCAATGACTGATTCTACCTTAATATTTTACAGCTGTCTATCAAGAGGAGTTAAAATATTTCTTGAGAACATTGGGAAAAAGGATTCTAAGCCTGACAAAAAAAGAAAGTGTCGCGCACTTTCTACCAAGTTTAATAATGGACACGATTAAAAGGTGTGATAGTCGTGAAATTTGATGAAATATTGTTTAAATTAATTATTTGGATTTAATCTAAAATATATATTTTAGGGCCCAAGACATAGGATACGAATTTGTGTCTCGTGTTCGTTTACCTCGCTATGTGAATCCTTATTTGGTAGGTAATAGCTTAATTGTCAACAATATTTAAATTAATGCAACAATTTTCTTGACGCCTTTCACGCATCTTATAATACCGTTTATCATTCATTTAGGGTGTCGAATTCTATTCCTCTCATAAAGCAATGGGAATGCATTTACTAAACACAATAAGTAATGGACACTATGCAGATATGGATGCATACTGGGCACACGTAGTGCTATCTACTGATGGTGAACGTATTGCTCTTGTGTCCCTGCGGTATGTATAAATATGCTTGACATATTTAATTCTCTCTCTTAGGTATTTGTTTTAATAATGACTCTCCTCCTTCTTTTTCAGTCGGATATTTCTTCTTGAAAAAAGATGTATGTGGGGCTCTTGGAATGTAGTATGGACCATAGAAGTTAATCAGCTTGTTCAACCACCTAAAGTCGTGAAGAACAAATTGATTTTCTATGTTAACAAGGTACAGTTACTCGTGCGAAAGCGCCCGTGTGTTTCATCGTGATAGTACACTTCACATTCTTCTATAGAAATTTAATATATCAATCACCAAGGTGTTCTGATTCCTTTAGCGTCATACGCATATGCCTTTATTGCTATCTCGTCTTGTTATGGTAACGAAATGGTATGCTAGGAATATTTTTCTTTTATGCCGCATTCGACACACTTGAGTACACTTTTACCCAAGTATGTTTCTTTTACGCGACAAAATGATTGTTATTAATCATCTTTACTAGAATAGACGGATGAACTCATATGGCTGTGCAATAGAAGTTTGATTAGACGAGAAAAGCTATGCCGAAAGCGTTAATTTGCACTCTAAAGAAAAATGCTCTGTATGCAACGACATTAATCCAGAAAGTTTCACTATTAATTCACGAGATGGTGTTATGTGATGTACAGTGTTTATACAATTTTGACGGTCGTTTTAGTACGTGGTTTAAAAAAGTTATTCGTACAAGACAATAATATTTCTTTTATTTATCTTTTTCTTAACTCGACGCCGATAGCGAAACACCCGAGAACGAACTATCTTCGAGAACCAACCTACGTTACCTTCGGCCGTCCACCCTTCGCTCATGCATCCGCAAGCCAGGCGGGCGCCAGCCAATTCTTTTTTCACCGGGAACTGACGAGCCGGTATGAACTGGGAGTTGGGGTGGAACAGGCCCAACTTCACCAAAATGAGAGCTCTTACGGAACCTATCAGATAATGCGATAACTTAACGGATCCTGTTGATTTTTGGGGAAGCGTAAAATCGAGAAACGCAGCCGTAGGTGCTGATTTTTGGGGTCGCGTAAAATCAACAAACGCAACTGGATGCATGAGCGGGAGCAAAAGGTTACAAAAATGCACGGCCGCTCAGACTGCTAGGTTGAGGTAAAGAGGGTCGGAGTAAGAGTCAGGCAAATAGTGCGAGAGACAGAGAGCAATGAACCGAGAACGTAAAAGAACGAATCTGAACTATCAAATCGAAATCCCTTTACCAATTAATAAATTGGGAGTCCTCACCGGAGCTGGTACAGCTAATCCCTGAAAACCGAGAACAGCATCCAAAGGACACTCATGAGGGCACAGCATTACACCTCCGGAACACTCACAGGAAATTCATAGAATTTCCTGGATATCGCGAGAGCAACGCGAGGACTACATGAACGAGAACTTGCTATACCGTATTGAAACACAACTAGACAAACTATCAACAGATAGCACGGGAGCGCGAGCCAGCTCGTGACACCGCGGTCGGTGCACCGAGACGGACTGCTTTGACAATAGTCAAATTCGAGAACTAATCATTCTGATTGGTCGATATCCTTATAGCCGATAACTCTTCCATTTCCCTCGAGTCGTCCCTTTAAACCAAATTGGGAGCGTTCCTTAGCGGATCGGTACGTAATACTTTTGAAGATCCTTCACGGTCGCTTCCCCAGGGCATCGTGCGACAGCTGGGCACCACATCCTTAACTCGGGCAAGAGGGTTCCTCCCCTGCCCTTAACCGTATCAAAACTATATCTCCGCCCGCTCTACAGCCCTTTGCCCATCTCCAGCGGAGCGTCGGTATCTCACCCGGGCTTCTGCCGGTTCGTGAAGACGTCTCCGTCGGGTACTCTCCTCTGTCGGGGAACGCTGTACGTCGAGACTATCTCCCCACGGCAGATTCGGGCAACTCGACCTCAACTAAACCCTAACGTAATCTTCCGAAAGCATTGGCATAACTATACAAATCAATCCGAGAGCATAGCTTCTGAGCAGGGTGGTGACCCGACGGGATCCTGAAATCAAGAACGTTATCTGTATCGGTAATCGTAGTCGCCTTGTGACCGTGAATCGAAAAATCACGTCGCAGAATATATATGAGTATAATAATATTCATCTAGAAAAAGAGTATTACACAGTTGCTAGTCACGGTCATGTGGATGGAACATGTCAAAGTAACTTCAGTCCAGCATTTTCCTTTGAAAATCAGGGAATATGTAATGTCTGTATGATAACGAAACGTTTTGTTGACAAAATGTGGAAGCAATTCACTGAATAGATTGAATTCAGATTTGTAGGAAAACTTAAGGAATGCGGATATACATGAAGTAGTAACAATTGCAAATATCCAATGATCCCAGTTTTAAATTGACACCTGTACAAACTTAATTTTCTTGTGACGGCGAATGCAGCAGATATAGCCCAATTGTTCACGTGCCGTGCCTGAAACGTCTTGCAGTGATACTTCAGTTTTACGTTGCCGATCCTGACTTTTTTAAGCTGACGCTACAAAACAGAAAAGAGCGCAGTTTCAAAATTGGAATTGGAATAGTTAATGATATCTTAATTTTTTCCTTGTTTTTTTTTTTAAATATTCTACTGTGGGTCCAACATTATTGACATCGTCGTCGTATAGGTATAGTCATCGTTTGAAATTAGTTGCATTTATATGAACCATCTTATTAATAATGTAAGAGAGTTCATTTTTTCAGGAATTAATCTATAATCACATGCCATACAACGCAACATCCTAAAGTAGCCTTTAAGATGCCTAAAAGAAAACTTCAACGAATAAGATCTCTTTTAGTCATATCAAAGATGACTAGGATTTGTATTGTCTGGGATAATTATAACTAAATGACGTTATCTTCAATCAATTTTAGATTTAATATCAACCCAAAATATGTAGACAGTATGAGTATAATAATATTATTAGTTTGCTACACGCGATGAATTCATAAACGACAAAACAAAATTATGAATATTAGTCAAAAGCACAACTCTTGAAGCCGAATGTGACGTTAATCAAAATTAAAAGAATTGTTAGGCTTTGCATATACATACAGAATTGAACAAGATTTTGAAAATATCCGCTTAACATTTACATAGTCGTTTACTTGAGACCGCAGAATGCTATCTATGTATTTGAAAAATACATTCTTATGGTAATTAATGTCACAGGAGAGATTATGAATGTGCTTTTTTTTTGCAGAACGAAAAAACGTGCGCTCTCAATACAGACTGGTACATAGAAAGCAACGACAAGATCGCCCTGGAGTGGCTGTGTCGTCAAGCAGAGAGCGTCATTATATTAAATATGGAAAATAGTATTTGTGTGGCAACAGAATATGAAATGTCGTAACTATGGAAATCAACGTATATTTTAATTAACTACCTACAATAATAAATCTTACCGTGAATGCAAACGAAATTGTGTAACACCCGTCAACATATATTTATATTATCCATTTTTTCCCTTCTCGCCGTTGAATTGCAAAGTGTTCTGGATAAAGTACGTCTAGTTTATTTCATAATTTATTTACAAAAAGTCTTAGTAAATTACACTTACAGGCATCTCCACTCAAACTAAAGTAAATAATTTAAGAGCTACACGTATTAAGATGTCTATAGAATAGGGTATTTTTTTTTTGAGGCTGGGGACGTGTTTGGTTCAATGTAAATGTTCCGTGCACATCTTGGCTTATCCTCGCTCGCGCGTCGAAGAGCGGAACTATAAAGTTTTAACTACTGTTACGGAACTGAAAAATTGGTCAATCCGGAGATGTCAAAGATATACAACAGTTGACAACCGTGACGATGAAGACGGCAATAACAAGTGACAACAATAATAACGACGATGACAGTGTCGGCATGATGATAACTATAGCAGCAACATTGATGACGATGATGATGATGAGAATAACGATGATCTTGACGACGGCGACGACGGCACCAACGGCAACGACGATGACGATCAGAATTATAACGACGTCGAGTTGTCGATCGTCAATGAACGACAGAAAAATCTAATATAATAATTGTACACTGATCGCCTTTGTCGTACCGAACTGATGACTTTGAATGCGCAAACTGTAATTAGGGATTTAAAAATGTACAACACGCAATAACAGCGCGTTCCTCTGTCTCTCTTGTATTTTCAAGTTGCTCAATGCCATAGCGCTAATTCCAAAGTTCATAAGTTCTATAGACACCATTTGATACGTCTTCCTTTTTTCCGTTTTCGCTGAAAATTGATTTTAAACCGATTCAGTTCATTTTGCAAGCACATTCACCATGAAACGTCCTAAATTTCAGTACCGTCACGTTTTTCATGTTCTCGCGAGACAACCTAGGAAGGAGGTGTGGAGATGAAAAAAAAAATGAATGCCTTGTTATTTAAGTGCGTGATCGTTTGCTAACTTTTCTAAACTATTCATTCAGAGACGTTGCTCTCCCCTCCAACCCAACATCCCACTTTTGTTTTTCTGTTTACTGCAACCATAGCTGTTTGAACTTTCTATCTCTCGATACTTTTGCAGGCACACATTATCCAACTTAATCTCTTCTCATCATTCCACCTTTAGTATTACCAAGCATACTCACTTTCATTATGACAAGTACACAGTCACATTCACGCATTAATTCTCTTTCTCTCTCTCTCTCTCTCTCTCTCTCTCTCTCTCTCTCTCTCTGATGCACATACTCCACGTAACGACGTATCACACATCAGTTTTCGTTTTCGTCCAGCATCAACTCTCTTCCTTCTATGGTTCCACCTGCATTTTCTAAAAATCGAGACTCCTGTGGTATAGAGGTCTACTCGCATTTGCGAGCGGCCACTCGCACTTGCGCCACAAGCGCAGCACAAATTGAATAAGATTCAATGGAAGTATGTATTATCTACAAAATATCTTAGTTACTCGCTAATTACAGCACAAAAACATGCAAATATAAAAATTTGCATTATATTATTATTATATTTATATAATCGTCACCCGACTATCGTTCCATGTCGCACCATCGGTTTGTCGAGTGTCCATGTATTCTTTCTGTTTTCTCATTCTCGTCAATTTATCGGTTTATATATTATTATGCGGCTGCTGCTGCTTCTCAAGTCTTTTTTCGTAATTATGAGATATCTTACACTATCGATATTATTCCAATTCACGAATGAAAGGTATACCAATGGCGCACCTCACCGAGAGTATACCTACGCGCTAACACCAATAATTAGCTTTTTTTTTCTTACTCGTTAAACTCGATATAAAACTACAACTACGCCGCAGTAGCGTTCCTCACTTTCCACTTTCCAATTGGCGGCGTGCACGACACGTCCATAGAAACATAGAGGAGACAGAAAACACTGGGCGCGTGCTGAGTTACGACGTAGTAGTGGTGGTGGTGGTTGTGGTGGTGACAGTGGTGGTGTTGGTGATAATGGTGGTGAGAATAGTGGTCGTGACGTTGCTAATAACATTATTAGTGTTGTTGCTGTTGCTGCTGCTACTGTTGTTACTGTTAACGCCATTACTGCCCGCACCTCCCACGCCTCCCCGAGAACATTGGAATAGGACACGCGCCACTATCGCAGCAACCTGCTGATCCAGGATTTGGCTCATGACCAGGGCGAGTAGACGAGACTCGTGTTGAAGTAACAAGGTTCTATTGTCAGGATGCCTGGCCAGGTTAAGGAGAGTGCCTGCTGCGCGTCGTAGCATGTCCAGACTTGTGCCCATCGATTCTGGATTGTCTCGAAGAGCTGCGAGACCATGTTGATTCGCCACTCCGAGAGCACTGCTCTCCGCCTGCTCTATGAATGCCACAAGAAGGGCAACGCAGGGTGTTTGAAGGGCAATTGTGCGGGCGACACCACTGTCGGCGGCTGAGAGAAAGTGAAGGAGATTCACGCCAAACTCGCGCAACACTTGCTCTTCACTACGGCATAGCAACCTGGTTAGGACTGAGCACAGCCTCTGTAGTCGAGAGTAGGGCGGAGTGGCAACAACTAGGTCGACATTACTTTCAGTGACGCAGAGCTTGCAGAGGGCTTCCAAGGCGAGTCTCTGGGGTGAAAGGGAAGAATTTGGGCTAACCGTTGGAAACGGGTCTTGACCATGTGCCGCAGGGCAAACGGCCCAATGTAGAAGACCGTCCAGTACAGGCCGCGATATTTCTTCCGGATGTTGACTCAGATCCATGTGACCGGCTATATTCGCTGCCATCACGAGCACATTTTCTCTGATATGGTGAAGAAAGTCCCACCACCATTCACTCTCGCCTTGTAAACTACTACAGGAATCAGCAAAGTCGGCATCTTCCTCCCGATCGTAATTTCGCGTTTTTTGCGTCCTAACGGGATGTTCATGATGTAGAAGGAGCAATTTTCCTAACAGACTTAGAAACGTTACGTTCTTCGCGAACTCTATTTCATTTCCAGGGATAAAAGTAAGGTTCCTGAGAATCGTCGAGAGGCAAACGCAACGCCGTGCTAAACTGTCTTGACTCTCTGTGACGAGGTAAAGGCTAGCCTCATCCCTCGAGTAACTTTCATCCTCGTAATCGTTTATCCGTCTCCTTTTCAGCGTTCCAGCTGGATCTCTAATCTTCAATCTTGGTCCCTCACTCGCCTCCTTTTCATCTCTCGCCTCATCCCTCGCGTCTGTCCCATCCCTTACACCTACTTCTTCCGCCTCTTCGCTCTCTTCAATCTCTCGCTTGATTTCCCTCTTTTCCAACTCGGCTGTACTCAGAGAGTCACTTATCCCGTTATGGTTGGGGAACGAATCCTCGTCGGTTTTCGATATCCCACTAAAGTGTTCACCCATGTTATTGTTTGCCTTAGCCTCGCTTTCGCATTCTTTCCTGGGCACGTCATTCTTCTTCTCGAATAATTCCCTAGTAAGATCATTCATTTCCATTGGTTCCTTCTTGATCCTGGATAACACGTCACTCAGAGTTTTCGTTTTCTTCTTCTTGTCAGCTTGCTTGCGTTCACCGCAATCCTTCAATTTGTCACTCGACTCATCGGACTTCTTCGTGGAATCCAAGTTATCGTGAAGGGTACTGGTACCGTCAACTTTGGATTCCTCTTTCGTGTCCACGCTCTCTACTTCCTTTTGTAAAAGAGGAGGCTTCTCATCTCTGAGATGTCGCGCGAACGGTAACGTGCTCACTTCGGACTGAAAGGATGTCACTATGTATTTGGTAGAGTTACTATCCACTTGCCACGGTTCAGTATCCGCTTCACAGTCTTGATGATCCCAGGGTCTACGAGAGTCCAATACGAAGAGGTCATCGTCACGCGGCACTACCTTCACAGGACGACCCCGTCTCGACAGGAACGTGTAATTCGAAGTAGAGAGAAGTTTAGCGCGATCTTCGGCATCTATAGGCCGTGTCACAGCGCCAAGGTCAACGTCAGGACCTTCTGAAGTTTGACACCAATAACGTTCGTCGTCCACCGCCGCGAAGTCAAACATGTCGGAAAGGGAACGAGAAAAATGTTCCAGCAGAACGTCCAACAGACCAGGAAGATGCGCCAGTCCAAAGTAACTTACCTGGAAAGCAGAGAAAAATATTTTTAAGAAAAAACCTCGCACACTACAACGAAAACGGTTTTTTATGAAAAATGGCCCGCTTACGGAAGTGTCATCAAATAGTAGAATGTTTAAAACGTCAAGGGCCCAACAGCTTTCAGCAAGAAGACCAGAGCGTAAAGCCATCATGATACGCCAAGCTTCTACCGGCGCCACATCTGCACGTGTCAATTTACGCCGTTTGTAAAGAAGCGGTGTTATTGCTTCCACGCTGTCGGAAGGGAATGTCATTTCTCTCTTCGGGGTAGGTTGTTGACCAATCATTGGATTCATTCCTAGTTGACTCTGAAAATAATAAATTCATCGGTAATTAATCACATTTCCCCTTGCATTAAATGAGTACGCAACAAACATCAAACATACTTTTTATCATGAAACAATTTTTTTTTAATGAATAGCAATAAACTCACCTTATGCAAAGAGTGGAAAAAAGTTGCACCTTATGCAAGTATTGTATGCAAAAACTTTGTACGTTTTTTTAAGGACGATGTAAAAAAAATTAACCAAAAAATGATCTCAATAAAATCTCTCGAAACGCTCATAATACAACAATGATAAATCAAATAAATGCAACACTTAATGCAAAATGCCTTTATACATATGTATAAATAATGCCTACGTGAAATTTGATTTAACGTTTTGCCATTAAATTTATAAATAATTCTACAGAAGTTAAAAGTTTTGCTATACTTTTTTGATTGGCTCAGTTAATTACACTGCACATCATCAACAGTCATAGGAATAGTACATTAATTTACAAATACATTATAATTAAAATAGTAATTTAAGAAACGAAGAATTTTCCGTTTCTCTTCGTTCTTCATAAACATAAAAAGAAAAACCTTTTGCATTGATGCATCGTGCAACATTCACTTTATAGCATGCATGAAGCATATTTTTCAGATATGACCATTCTGCACTTTAATACAAAATCTAATTCTCATGCGTTTAGTAACGGCGATAATAATAAAAGTCACTGACATGTCAAAAACAAAAGCATTACGAATTGAATGCAAATAACTTTCCTATCTCATCCGATAATCCAGTCAGGTACATACGAATAGTCAAAAGTGCCATCATGACAGTAAATTCAACATAATTTTTCTTTTCGACAGAATAGTAGTTCTTCAAAGAAAAGTGAAGTATTATGGAATTTACGAAAACTCGAAAAGAGTAGTTAATAAACTAATTCGAAAAACGTACAAGTATTGAGCTAAGAGCAATAACGTAGAAGATAATGTGACAAACCTGATGCGAGCTAGGAGGAGGATAGAGCGGAGAGGGTTGGTTCGGATAGCGATGGTCCCACGGTGGTGGTGGCGCGTGTGTAATAGCATTTATGTTTGGTTGCGAAGATGGCCTAGGTGGTTGTTGACTGGACCACTGCTGTCCGCCGGTTATCCCACCAACCCCTGTAGAAGGCGAACCCGCAGTTGCAACTTGAGGCGGTTGTTGCTGTTGTTGCGACTGCTGCTGGGATTGCTGACTCGGATAAGGTACTCGATTACTCGCAGTAGGACTGCTATATTGGTTCGTCGTACTTGTCCAGCCTATCGCACAAATAACCGATAATATAAGTCATGAGACAGTACATTAAGTATGAGAGCATAGATGAAGAAGGTATTGAATTTAACCTGGATAGGTCGGTCTTTGTTGATTATACGGAGGATACTGCTGATCTTTGGCAAAGTCTGGATGGCGTCTTGGTTGCGTTGGTCCTGGTGGAGGAGGTGGCATGTTCTTGTTCGCCGTTGCACCTCCAGAGTACATCTGATTCCCTCCCGGTGTTCCGTACGCCGCCTTTAACGTTTATTGAACTAAAGAGCAGGTCGTGCTAAGCCGTCACAATCGAGGAAGGGTAAAACAATTCCACGAGAGGACGCTAAAGCGCCTTGGGTTTGATAATTTTCCAAAGATGGATTACGTTAAATTGTTCTGTTATGTTTTTTTGATTTAACAGCGTTACCTGTTCCTGCCGATAGTAATCTTGCGGACAGGAGTACGTCGGAGTCGCCGGCGACTGTGACGGAGAGGATGGTTGGCTCGTTGATGGTGGCTGAGCGTTTGGAGGATGACCTTGCGGCCCAGAGATATAGTTGTTATTGCGTGCACTGGGTGGCGTAGCGGTCGAGTAGCCTGATGGCTGTTGACCGCCGGCATACCTGTTGTACATTTCCTGACCTGCGGTATTATTCGGCGGCATATTTCCCCCAGCATAAGCTCTGCGAACACGGAGTGAAGTATACGTTCGTAAGTATGAAACAGACTGGATCCAACCATACGCAGCTATGCGCGATAATCGAAATATCAATTTACCTCTCGGCATCCGGCGAATATTGTGGGTAATGCGAACGCGGTGAGTACGGTTGATTGAAATCTCCTTGCTGAGTCATCGTGTTTCCTTGAGGACGAATATAATCTTGTGGATAGTTTTGGTAGGAACCTCCACCTTGATAAGCGCCTTGCTGCATTCCTGAAAATCATATAAAAGATCGTTTATTAGACTTAACGATGTAAAACGTTAGTAGAATAACTCTTAAGTAGAAAAACGATTTCGTAATAAAATTACGTACTGATCGCTGAATCGCAGACACCAGATAACAATGACGAAAAATATATTTGCTTTCGGAAAGCTTGTTACTATAGCAATTAATCCTTAGGTATCGAATGATACCCAATTAGGAGATATATCAGACTCGTACAAACAAACAATTATAATATTTTCAATTGACTCGTAATATCTTTTGAAATTATCCATTTATACAGGACAATGTACCGGCTTGCTCTGGGCTCTGCTTATATTATGTATCGAGCGCTAAGCGTTAGTGTATTGTCGATGGCAGATAGGCACATGATTGCAGAATAGGACACTTTGAACCGGAGAAAGCAGTATCTAAGGTACCTGATGTACCTGACAGACCCGGGTAGGGCGTTGTGTTCGATTTTGGCGGAGATTGTCCCACGCCATCTTTGAAAGTATTTAATACGATAACCGCGTTATTCTGCCCGCTCTAGTTCGAACTACCTGCCAGACCAACATCACTCCCTCAGACTCAACGTTTTTCCCCCTAGCCCGTTACAAGTTGATCCAATTTTTTAAATTAATTTTCAACAAACCTTGATGCGGCGAAGGTGCACTACTCTGACTTGGCGGTCTCGGTGGAGGAGTATATTCTGCTGAAGATCCACCTGGTGCGTTACTAGTATAATTACTCTGATAGCTTCCATATCCATCCATCGAGGTACTACTCGATCCTGCCGCAGGAAACGAGTCCTGAGAATTCGAGGAGCCTGAAATAAAGTTACATGAAATTTGATTAAAATTATCCGAAAAAAAGATTAGTCTATGATTATCATTGAAATTAATTTTCAGTGGTTTCCCTACCTGGTGACGGTACGGATGCAGTACTCTTTGAATTCTTCTTCTTAGAACTAGCTTCAACCTGATTTATAATAGGCTGTGGATCAACGCCTCCACGATCAAAATGGCACTCGTATGCCAGCAAGTGCTTCGTGTAGTGCTTGCGTAACGTGTAAGCTGCACTGCTACTTGCACCAATACCAAGTAGACCGGCTATGTCCTTCCAGGTTTTGTTTTTGGTCACCTATGGAAAAATACCTTTATTCCCTGCGTAGGTATGCGCGACTTAAAAAACGTCAAAATACACGACAAATCGCACGAAGACCCACAAAAATGCGCGAAAGGACGCTTCGGGCGCAAATTTGAGCTCACCTTACGTCGCTCGAAACATTTATTAAAAATCCTCGATAAGGATCACAGATTAACGAAATATATCCTTCATGCAAATAAACATTGGCGGATGAGATACAGTTTAAGTAGATTACCGTTATCGTATTGACATTAAAACTCTATCTTCCTTCAATAATAGAATAATTCCATATAGCACCAGGGTTCGTAGCCCACAGTCTTTCCAATCGCGCTGAGCGAGTACTTCAAGAAAAATGTGTTAAACCTTTTTCAATATTTCGGGAAGAAGTTAGAGAAAGGAAACCTTATTAAAAAAAAAAAATAAAAATAAAAAAAACGAAAGTTAAAAGATAAAAAGGGAGAACAAAATAGAAGACAAGAAGAAAAAATTGGATACATCCAAATGATGTATCGCGCTCCAGTGGGATTAACAATAAAAAAATTTCACTACAACCTAAGTGTCATGCACAAACGTGCAAATGTAACTACAAAATGCGAAGAGCCTCGAGAATTCTGCACGTTTGGACCATCTGTGGTACGTTTCGAAATTCGAGCACGACAATAGTCGGTCGTGAAACTTGGCAAAGTGACATTCACGAGACGCTCCAAGATAGAAAAATAGAAAGAGTTAAAAAAAAAAATTAAAAAAAAATTAAAACAAAAAATTGAAGAAAAAGTGAAAAACCAACAAGACGATAAGACACCGAGGGCTAGATGGAACTACACTGCACCTTGCATACCTCCATGAAGCCCCCTCTCTCTTTTACGTAGAGATATAGGCGAAACAAGTCGAGGGGGTTCTTGGAGATGGTAGGACAACTCGTAATCGGAGTCCTTCGTTCCTCCATGAAAGCAACAAGCTTGTCCAGCCACGATCTTCGTTCCATGGAGTCATCCATTTCGTAGAGTTTCGCCAAACTGTCAGGTTTCTGAAATTTACACGTTACTCAATGTGTATTGTTTCTATAGATATTATATCATTGCGGAACTAAAATGGCATGGATTTAAAAGGCAAGCTTGGACGGAAATGCGTTTCGAGTTTGATATTTCACAGCAGAATAATCTTTGAATTATGACAATGATGTTGCCGACGCACTTCTTCAAATCTAACTTAAGGACCCATGCAGAATAAAGGTGTAACGATCGAACTGCAATATGGTTATAATAAATCAAGAGAATATGGAGTTTTGTACCATTTTGATTTCATAAAGACTGCGTGAAACCTGCGTTAAAAGTCTAAAATGAATTAGTCACATGCATCAGCATCAATGTCGTCTACTGAAATTATTCAGAGTACAGTTGATGTACTTTATTAACTATATAGGTGTTAAATATTCATCGTAAACAGAATAATTAAAGGTTTTTACTTTCGGCTTACGCTTTTCCCCCCTCTCTTGCATGAACTCTGATGTTGTCAAATGCCCATATATTGATTAAAAATATGTTGCAGAGAATAATATGCAAGTGACAACGAATTAGTAGATGTTTAAAGATAAAAATCTATAGTATGTACAGAATTAGTCGTCTGCCATGCCATTTGAATTAATTAATTAATTGGACGAAAATATGGTAATACCGATTATCAAACATGTATATTGACACAACTGGGCATTGAATGTTTTCGATATCGCATGAGTAAACCTTCACCCATATTATTTGTCAATTGCGGAAAAGTAGTATTATAGTAGAATCGTGTTAAGATAAAGCAAGCTAGAGTTATATGAATGGCGTGCCCCATTTTGTAAAATTGAATGCCATCACAGCATGAATCAAAGCGTAAGTTTGCAAAATAATAAGTTGTATGGAACTTAAGCTACTATCAAGCGCAGCATTCTTGTAGCAAATACTTGTATTGAAAAACAATAACCTTAGATCTGTACGGGTCTTGAGGCACATGACTGTTAAACACCTGTAAAATACGAAAATATTGAAAAATCCAGAGAGTCGTAGCGTAAGAGTCATATAGGCTGACTGAAGGTCTGTTTATAATTAATAAGTAGATAACAATCATGCGCGATAGTCATTAAAAACTTTACATGTGAAGTAAACAAAAATAATAATATTATAGTAAAACTGAATCATAGAATAGTAACAATAGGTAAAGTACATACGGGACTAGCAGGTGTTCGAGGCCAGCCTGGACTACTCATATCAGGATACTCTTCATGTATCGAGTTGATGCTCGCAGCACCAGGTGACGGAACCGTACTCTGTGGTGTAGCAGGATGACTATGATACGTTCCAATCATCTCTTTCCTGGCTTTTGGAGTTAACGCTGGGTCTTCTCCAGATGCTAAAAGAACAACTCATTTAGCAACACTCATTTCAACTTCAAATACTATTTATTTATACTGACCTGCAGATGCATTCGACAAAGTTGACTGCTGTGAGCCTTCGTCCAAAGAAGTGCCATCCGGTCCAGTTGTTATCACGGACGTTACAGTACCACTCGATGTTGACGTAACATTGATAGCTGAGGTACCTAATGGAGGTAAATAATGCATATTAGTATATATGAGCATGATACTAGAAAATACTCGAAAATTGTTCGAAACAGCATCGAAAGCCACAGAGCGAAAAATATTACCTGAAGCTGTGGTAGTGATGCCGCTGTCGTTTGAAGTTTCAGTACTAAGCTCCGCGGAACTATGGCTGGTAGGAGTAGGTGCAGGCGTCGGATGCGAATTCGGCGTAGTGCTCGGCGGTGGCATAGGACTACCCTCGTGATTGAGGGGTGGCGTAGCTGCTGGAGGATGCGGATGTGGCACGGCGGAACTCGTTGCCGGAGGCTGACTGCTTACGTGATTTGGTGATGGCGGGGGCGGACCCATCGAACTCGCTGGTGGTCCCATGTTACCAATAGCACTTAATCCTGAGGTACCTGGTGGTACCATACCCGGACCCCCGCCAGTACCATATACCTGAGGCGGTCCCGGACTAGGTGGCATTCCCGAAGGTACGTTATTGAACCCCATTTTATGCTAAAATTCATATTTCAATAAATATTTATGCAAAATTAAGATTATGCTCACGTCTGTTCGCACCGAGAGCTTATTATTTATATTAATAATTATTATTACCGGATAGGGAGGATATTGCGCCATATTATTAGGTCTCGCAGGCTGGTATTGGTTGTTAGGTGGCGGCTGAGAGTTTGTAGGCGGTGGATAACCTTGAGGAAACTGCATATGCGGACGAGGTGGTGGATAAGCACCCTGTCCTGGATAACCTCCTTGTTGGCCTGCACCTCCCCCGGTAGATGCATAGCCCATGCCGCTACCCATTGGACCAATACCACCGAGGCCTGCCGGCCCCGGTCCCGGCTGAACTACAGCTGGACCACTGCTGTTTACTTTGTAGCCGTGCATGTGTGGTGAAGGACCTAAAGGTTGTTGATATCCTCCTAGAAACATTTTATTTGTTTACTATCTATAAGGGGTAACAAATTCAATACTTAACGAACATTAAAACTACAAAGGTTAATATAATCTCTGGATATGCAAACTTTAATAAAACTGTTTATATAATTTACTACTGCGTTCAAAGCTATCTACTGTTAAGTGGAGTACCAAATAATGGTATGTTCAAATTAGTTCAATGTCATACAGGCGTTTTCACCCAAAAAACATCAGACGACATTATTCATGTAATTCACCGTCATTGCTATGCTATTTTTATAAGTAATGATTCAAGAATGAAAGGGAAATCCGACACTGATTTTTCTATGTGACAAAAAGTTGATGTCAGATTTCTCCTTAACTTTTCAATTAGTCCTTACGAACACTATATGGCAGCGATTGCACAAACGTAAATCGTGGCATCTAACGCATTAAGGTTAAAATTTTGTATTAAATTCGAGGAAACTGTAATTCTCGTGCATGTCAGATGAGAGTGATTTATATGATTTCTTAATGACCTATATTTTCTAATTAACAACTATGACAATGTTCACACAAAATGATATACCTTGTGTTGTCATTGGCGAGTGACTCATGCGTGCTGGTCCACTACCATCTGACTGGCTACTTGAAGGGCGTGGAGGCATTTGAACGTTTTGTTGACCTATAATTGAAGAATTCACATAATATTAGATCTTGTACAATACAGCCCCCTTAAATCTCTTATAATTGGTCTACAAGCACATGTTTGACTTATGTAGATTAGAAGCCAGCTGTGAGTACCTAGTAACAATTTCATGATCATATTTAGACCATTTATTTAATTAAAAAGTTCTCCTAAAACTATTGTAAATAATACTTTATTTATTTACCATCTAATTACATATGATTTAAATAAAGAAATTAAATAAAATTTTGAATGTTTTTCAAAGAGCATCACACTTTATTATATTAAGTAATTATGAAATGAAAACACTAACCAACAGCAGGGGACATGGAGCGAGAACCAGTTGATCCTGTAGGTGAAGGGGTTGGTCTCATCCCCTGGGAATTTGGAGTCCCAGGACCAGCTGGTCCATTAGAACTGTCGTTGCTGTTTTGGCCTGATAGTTCCTAAAATTAAAAGCAGTTTCGAATATAAGGCTTTGTACATGATCAAGGATAAAGCTTGAAATTACTAAATTGTGTAAATAGAAAATAATATTTATTGCTATATCTGTACTTTCACCATATTTAATTATGTTCTTATCTGACATTGAATAATATCCAGAAAAAGATTATAGAATAATAAAAATAACATTTATATAAATATATTTCTTTTACAAGAGAGACAGGGAAATAAATGGAAAGAAATGAGCAAGTATTAGATTAAGAATGAAAAGAATTGGAAAATATATGGTAATAAGGTAGATAATTAAAGATTGGATAAAAGAATATAAAGGTACATGGTATTGTAAAAGAAAACCTAGTGTAAGAAAGGTAACAAAATATGAAAATAGAGGAAAAAGAAAAAGATAATAATCATAGAATATTACTCTAAATTAATAAACATATAAAGATAAATCTGAACTAGATAAATGCAAATATATGTACTAAGAAATAAGGTTATGGTGTAATGTCGTTAAATATTATTGAAATAATAGATAAAAATAGAAGAAAAAAAAGTCCAAGGTATAATTATTCTAAGCAAAAACGGTATTAAAATTTTATACGAAGTCAATTGGAGTTCCTAGTACTCCTTATATCACAATTCCCTTTTGGATACAAGATCGTAAAATGTTATACTTGTATTGTATAATCTAGCCATTGTATTATTTCAATTATATACTTATTTAAAATGCATTCCTAAAATTAATTTCCTTTTCCATAAATTCATTAATATTTTTCATCTGCTTCTACACTTTCAAATTGTATATAAGAATATAAACCACATGTTATAGGTTCATAAAAGAGGGTGCATTATACTACAGGATGTAAAACCTGTACAAAACAGTATCTTAAAATCACTATTAAAATATATAGAACATAAGACAATTAACATAAAGTAGATATCGTGTGACAGGAAAATGCTAACATGATGTACTACAAGCTTGTATATTATGTTCGGGGCAACAAATATAAGATTTGATATGGTAAGATAACAAGTACACTTAAGTAACTCTCTAAACTTTACATAAGAAGGTATTATTTCACCAAAAATTCGCGAGAACGTATCACTGCTCAAATTGGAATATATATATATATTTTTGTATGTATAAAGACTGAACAGATATTTGTCAACCTGGGAGTTATAACTGCAAACCATATATCGCATGAATTTATATGAACGTACTATAATAATTCAAGTGGTATAACCAGGTGGTTGCGGGCATACCCAATCCAAGGTATAACGTGGCCCCACGAGTTTATTCGACGACACATCCTTAGAGAGAGGGTTAGAAAAAAGAGAACGAGAGAACGCCAAGTAGATAGAGAAAGAGAAAGAGCAAGAGAGAAAGGGAGAGACAGGAGAGACAACAGGAGTGTACGCGCCGGTGGCGAAGACTTTTATGATGACGGAGACGTCAGCACTCTCTCACCACTGCTGGACACGCGTTCTCCAAGTATGCGTGTATTTAACAGGTATATGAATGAAGAGACGTAAGGCACAAAATGTGTAGATGTGCGTGTGCCATAACACCACAGGCAAAGAACGTCGCGCAACGAGTCGCGAGAAAACCACTACGCTACGCCCACCGGCCGCGATCGCGCACTCTCAACATTTTCACGACACACCATCCATTCTGGAATTTTAACTGTTCTCTTCACTGTCGCGTAACTGGCTTTACTGTGCACCAGGTAATCCTATCGCAGCTCAACTGGATGCCAGCGTGAAACCTTTTAGACGCCCTGCCATCATCCCCACGCTCGCATCCCACTTACACGCGAGCATGCTTCACTTCACTGCCCTTCAATCCACTCCTCTGTTCCATTCCTTCTTCACATGTTGTGTCGATAGAGCACGAGCATCGCTTCGACGAATACGTCCGTGAAAATAGTTCGTCAACGTTTTGCCCGTAGGAAGATGGACGCTTCGCGGATAACCTCGTACGATAGGGCCAAAAATACAATCGTATTGTAATCGAGACTCCCTTTTGGATTTCAGAGCTTCGGGTTTTCGGGTTTCGAGATTTCGCGTCCAGTGAGCTCGCGGGAGGGCGTTCGTCGTGGCGCGGCAAGCGTTTGCCGTTACTCGGCTAGTTCCGTCACCGTTCGGCCCGGCAATCCGTGTTCCAGAAACCTTCGGTTTTCGAACCGCGCGTATTTCGAGATACGCTATTATAACTACGTGAATGTATTTACTTCAGGTGAATAGATGCGACTCATGTATAAATTCACATTGCTCGAATATAATAAGAAGGAACAAAAGGTGAATGGCACGTGTTGCGAAAGGGAAGTTTAGACATCAATAAAGGCACGTGATCAGTAAACACCACGTCAAATACTGAAAAATGTGCTTTACACAAAATTGATACGCGAATTAAAAAGAAAAAAAAAATACAATTCTATCCTACAAATCATCCCAGTTAAACTTTTTACAGCTTCGTTAAAACCTAAACTAAATTAAAGCATTAACTAGTTTTCACAAATTCATTCTATTATCAAGACAAAAAACTGTACTATCGGAAGGAACTCTAATAAAAACAATTGCTCTTAAAGGCTACGGAACATTAGATTCGACAGTCAAAGAGTGAATGATAGTCGCACAATCGGTCAAGCCGAATTTAGACGAACGAAAAGCGGATGATGTTGGTTGCGGTAGCAACGACGTTGAAGGTGGTGTGTGGCGGTGGAGGAAATCACGTCGACTTAGCGTCCCCCACCGATTCAAACGAACGAACAGCCGAACGAGCGAACAGCTTTGCTTGCTCCTCAGTCGACTGTTGCCTATGTTGCCTATGTTGCGCGTTCTCTCGGGCAGTCGGCTCTGCGTGCAGCGAGGAGCAGAGGGAAGGCGCTAATATCTGGGGCTCCGGCGGCCGCGCAACTCGCGCCCTAATCGAACTCCACCACCACCTCCGCCATTACCGCCACCACCACCGCCACCAGCATCTCCACTACGGCCACCACCACCATCGCCATCGCCACTGCCGTCACCTCCGCCATCAAGAGGGCCACTACACAGCATCATTATTATATCTACATCTGCTTATATCACAATCATCACTATCAGTGTATCTCTCTCTCTCTCTCTCTCTCTCTCTCTCTCTCTCTCTCTCTCGTTTTACTGTCGTACAGAAACCCTCGAGCCGTAATAACTTCCCTTGACCAATATTCTTTCTAGAGATCGACAATATCACTTTCTACTTTACACAGGACTTTGTGCTCTATTTCGATTGTGTCATACGCAATTGCACGGACTTGTAGCCGATACGAAGATGACAGATCAAGAGGAAGGTAAAGGAGACTGACTCTTCCGTTTGAATGAATTCAGTATCACAAATCCATTGCAGCTTGATAGATTTGTTATTCTACGGTAGACATAATTGTTTATATATATAAGGAAAAATTGTTTAAAGTATCTTATGAAGATGAAATTTCTTGAATTGGCTCAATTAGTCAAATAATGTAACTAAAGAAAACTTGCTATATTCTGACGACTAAGCACTCATCTTTTACATTTTTGTTTTTCGAAATATGGTAATTGAGTGTGTAACACAGACTTTTTCTTTTGTCTTCAAAAGATATTTATATATTATATTAAAGGGAATAGCTCCCCCAAATGTAAGACATGTAATTATTAACTAATCATTGAAATCTAGAGAATTGACTCAAAATGACAGAGGAAGCTCCGAATGATTGAAAAATCTACATCTGGCAAAATTTCAATTTAAACATTCAAGACGCCAATCGTTATATAATTGAATCCGCCGATATGCACTTTATATTACAATGTAAAACATAACATCAGATAATGACGCCCAAGTAATTCAAATATTTTCAAGGTTTCAATGCCTCTATCAACGAGGTTAAATTTCTTTAATATAATTAAACATATAGAATCAACAAAGCCCTTCTGTCTGTACCGTAACGTCATGTTCAAAATAATGTGGATTCTCATTTTTTTTTTCATTTATATTTACATGTTTTGATTATGACAAATTTAAATGCATTATATATTCCTTCGTTACTTAACCAGTTGACATACATAAAGCCGACACAAAAGAGCAGAATCGTCGGATCGCTTTATTTAAGGACAACATGAAAATAGAACGATGGAGTCTATGAGATCTTGTCTCGTCAATAAAGGGTTAATGGTCACATTAGTAACTTCAAACTATCAGTTATCAATCTTGACAATCTAATCGTTCGTCAAGATCCGAACGAGGGAAAATATTTTCATATATTTATGTTCTAGATCATTTACTAAATGGCTTATGTCAGTTTTCACAAACTTATACATTGCGTACAAGTTTTAGAAAAGCTATTTCGCAATAGCATTTGAAATACTTGAAAGTTCGTGGGATCATTATATTCGCTTTTATATGCGTTTGTATCGTCTCGTTTTGTACCTCATAAGACATAACAAAAATTATCGTACGACGAGAAAAATAAAAAAAAAAAGTGTACAACGAAGGTTTGTTAAAACAACCATTAGTGTATTATTAATATTGTTATAAGATCACACTCGTAGATTGACGAAACTTTATAACTAGTCATATGATCCTACCTTTAGCAGGATTACAAACAGGATAAGTATATTTGACATTAGTATTTCTGATAAGGAGAAAGCGAGTACATATAAAAATTGAAAAAGCAAGTATACAACACTTTTGAGGATACTACGTTAATCCTTGTATATCGGTGCTTGTAATTTCTAGCATTGCTCAAATTAAACAGAAACAAATGCGAGACTAATAAACTTATAAACCAAAGATAAAGCCATTAACAGTCATTCTCGTGATTCATTATGTTTCTAAATGTCTGTGCAATAATAAATATTCGATTACACCGTAGTGCCTATGAATTATTGTAAATATTCAAATAGTTATTAAGTCTCCACTGCAGCCGCTGATTAGTTTAAAGAATCCGTGCGTTAATTAGTTGCCTACAAATAGTAACTGATTTTCGAAAAAGACTAAAGAAAAAAAAAGAGTGATTGGCAAAAAAGAAAACTGAGTTTTTAAACATTGTTTTGGATTGAAATGCAATACAACAGTGTCAATAATATTGATTTCTGTTCCCACGTCAGCCAGGGTTTAATATTATTTATGGATTAAGCCGTGCAAATTAAATACTGTGATTGTTGGAAAATGATTCAAAAATAGTAAAACTAGAATTACGTGAAGTCTAATGTCCGTATAAATGACGTATGTTAAACAGTAACGAATGGTAAATTCATCTGTTCGTTGAGAGTTTGAAACTTGAAGGAGGAAAAAAACTTAATTACCATTAGTCAACGGTATTGAGGATATTACTTATTTCAATCAACTTTTTTAAAATGACTGCTTCCACCAAATTTAGACAGATGTTATATACAATTGCACAATCGTAATTTGCCAGATGTTAACTGATTTTAAATACAAGTCTTAAAACGATTATGTTCTGACAGAAGGGCCGCAACTAACGATGCTAATTGTAAAATTTAGATATTTGTTCAAGAGTACTCCTCATACGTATCCCTTCAATCGTTGATACACTGCTTTTCCGTTCTAACTAATAGAAATTTTATCTGTCAGCCATATTATTCTTGTGACTTGTATTGAAACTTTTAGCTCCTCTCTAACCTGTATACAAAACATGTTAACATCAGGTGAATGGCACTTGGAGTTTGGAATTAACCTAAATCTGTTGATGAAATTCATTTTGGTCAAAATAGTCTAAATATATCATTTCTTCAGATCCAGTGACTAACAATGTTATTAATTTTGTTTAACTTCCCAATTTATAATAAACTTCTAAATCAAAACACGATTCGAATGAACGCATTTAAGACGGCAAAATTGATTTGTTTTGAAACGGTTTTCGATTCGCGTATACAGGAATAAAGATAGATCGTTAATTTGTGAATATATTACTTTCTCAATCGCAGTATATAATGTGACAGTGTTATCTAATGACCGTTCAAGTAGAAATAATTAAAAGATATATTGCCCTGTTAAAAGTGTAAATGATAAAAACTACAAGCTCTAATATTATTTCGTTGATTGTCCTAATTGAAGATATTGCAAATTGAAGCTAGAAATATCACATAATAAGCTTTTAACCGGGTTGATTGATTCGAAAAATAAAACGTGTAGAAAAGTAATCTATGGAAACACCGTAATTCATAATGTAGTGTCTTAATCCGGTAAAGGCTAGCTTTGATAATTATAGTCTTACTACGATTTCGAGGATCCACATCGTGTTTTTCAAAACTTTGGAAGTAGTAGGAGTAGTACTTGACGAATACAGTGTACCTAGGATGATACTTTATCGAGTTTCTTGATCTGACCTTCCAATCAAGCGCATATGGAAATAATAAACTAAACTTGTCAACGTTGACAAAAAAAGGTATAGTAACTAAGAGCCGATATTTCCATTTCCTCATAAATTATATATGGCAGATAAACTTATTGAGAATGACTGTAATTGATGGATTCAGTGTGTAACTAAAAAATTGACCTGACATTATAACAATTGGTCCTAAAACTAATCATTGTCTTAAGAATTACAAGTAATAGATTTAGCACGGGTGCTAACTTTTTTTTTGGTGAGATACCTAGGAAAGATTGTTGAAATAGAAATAAACTGACGGCTCAATTAGGAAAAAGATGTACCATTTGAAAATTTAAAACGATCGCAACCAAGATGTAAGTTAAAAAAAAACGTTGAAAATATCCTTTTACATATTAAAGTAACGTTTTACTGTTTAAGAGCATAAGTTAACTCTTATTTAGCTTATAGAGAGCCAAGAGATCACTATTCATTCCATATTTTTAAATAACTGTTAATTTGTAAAACGTGTTTAAAATACTTACCCCAGAGTCGATCCCCTGAGTATTTGGAGTTGTGGATCGTTGCTGTATATTGTGGAAACTCTGTAATGATGAATAAATATTATTAATTGAATCTTAATTGTATGAGAATCATGCATTGATTTCAAGAAAAGCAGCAAAGAAAGGAAATGCGTTTCACTGGTCAATTTTTACTACTGTTGTAACATTTACGATCAACTGACCAATCAAATGCGTTTACTCCCTCAACGTCGTTTGTACTGATCATAGCCACTGAATTTAATGTTAGAAAAACTATTTTTACTGAATGCACGAATCTCATAGAGAGTTGATTTTGAAATATTACAAGTAAAAAAATATTTCATAATAGTTACAACGGCATCAGTTACTGCACTCATTGAAAATGTTATCCACTGTTTTTGTTTTATGTAATAACATATGTCCTTTTACAAAAACAAATGTCATTAATTAAAATAAGAGAACTATAACATTTCAATATCATGTAAATAGAATAGTAACTGAAAACTTTTAACTTCATTTACCTTGAAAGCTTGAATGTGCATAATCAATCATTTTTTTAATTTGATATAGATTACTTGTTGGATGGATACATCAGAAAATAAAGTGAAATATATTCTAATACTTAATATAGTTTACATTTAAAAAAAAACCATTAACATAAATTAAGGTCTTTAGGTATCAAAATATTGTCTTGTCACTAGGTTTTATATAGACTTCAATAGCTTCTTTGAGTGTTTTTTATAAAAATAAAATGTTGTAGATCAAGACAAATTTTTAAACAAGCTTACATTTTAATATAAATAATGAAAGTTTGATAGATGTTTTTGTTACACATTTTATCCGATGCAATGTAAGTCTTAAAATATTGGTTAATTATGTAAGTAAAACAAACTAACCTGAGGTTGGCCAGAAGGTTGTGGTTGAGGTGAAGCTGAAGGCGGTGGTGCGGGAGATTGAGAGAGTGCACGTTGTGGTGATTGACTTGCAGGATTTGCCTGATTCGTTGGAGGAGGTGGAGGTGGATTTGCTGGTCCTCCTTGATTCCAACTTCTTTGCTCTGGATATATGCTTGGAGCATGTCCAGTTTGCACCCCATATGAATTCAACTGTAGAAAAATAAGCCACACGTTTTGATTATCCAATCTTCATGAATTGGAGCATGCACATGTTTAACGTTTAGATTGATTTTATCAAAATAGAAAAATAACTGTACTTACCTGATGATGACTATATGGTGAATGTGGTCTTGTAGGTGATGAAAATCGTTGGGTAAATTGGGGGTATGGCATAGCAGTTGGAGAACTTGGACCTCCTGGCCCAGGATGTAACCTTGGTGAACCCTATTTACAGAAATTAGTTATTAACTCAAATAAATATGAATGTACCATTCTGATATCTTGAAAATATATAAAACTTTCTATAATTTTCCTTGAAAAATATCATGGATAATGAGAAATGATTAGCTTGTATATACGTATACTGCATAATGTAAACATTGTAAGACAATTAAAAATACATGAAAACTCACAGTTTGTGGAGGACGCTGACTTGTTTGTGGATAAACAGGTGGCACAACTGGAGGACGTTGTATAGGCCAAGGCTGTTGGTACGATTCAGGTCCGATACCAGGGTAATTGGCATGAAAACGATGCACAGGCGTGGAGGCCTGAAGCAGCTGATTAAGGGTAGGTGTTGGACCAGTGGCCTGTGATATACTCTGGCCAGATAGAAACCTTGGTTGACCAGGAAAAGACCCAGGTCCAGGCCCAATATGAGCAAGGCGTGGTTCAATTTTTGATACAGCATAATGCTCATCCATGTCTGCCTGATGTCCCCTGTCCGCTTCGTTTGTCGACTGCTTACTGGAATAATCGAGCTGCTTTCCTAGAAACTCGCCGGGTTTCCCTCCGTAGTCTGCTGGCTGTTTACCCGGATAGTCACTTAACTGCTTGGGGGTAAACTCGCTAGGTTTGTTGACGTACTCCTCAGAGTAGTCGCGCGCTACGCTCGAAGCGAACGGATGTCCAGGGTGGGCTGGGTGCCCAGAGGCATCAAGGGCAAGAGGTTCAGGTTTAGCAGGTGTCTCCTGCGGGGTTTGGGGGAGCTCACGGGGTGACTTGACCTCGCCGGCGGGGTGTCCGCCAATGTCTTCACGGTATTGACTCATCTCGAAACTCGAGTCCCCGCCGCGATTCACATACTTAAGCAGCTGGGCCGCGCCCCGGGACGCTTTCTCGCCCGATTCTAAATCTAATTGTTGGTTTCCACTGGCACTCGCACTATTTCCACCGACTTGCGGACGTTTCTGCGCGCATTTCACGGCCTCGTTCAGCTTCACATCGTTTTGTTGGCTCTCGGCTTGCGTCGCAGCCATGTTCTCTCCTCACGGAGCCATCGTCGTCTCGGTAACCGGCCAATCGCGGCTTCTCGTGCCTCGCGGACTACGTGCGCTTCTCGAAAACCTTCTTGTGATTGGTTGACTTGCCCGGTTAACGAATATCTTTATCCGCGGCATCCTCTGTCAAAGACACGCGAGGAACAAGCGCAAAGCGCTTGTTGAACTGCACTGTGTACTTTTCAATATCAGTCGATCTCAAAAAATACTTGAGTTAACGTCAAAACCCGCGTCATGCAAAACACACCATCTTGCGGTCGCTGTCGATACTATCGAAAATAGGTCCTACGTACAAGGATAATGATGACATAGAAGTTGAGTCGTTTACATACTCACATAACACGGATTTTTTATAGCAAGTTGCGCGTCCGAATGCAGCGCCTCTCGGTGGAAGAAAACAAAACTATTTCTGTGGCAACTTTTCATGAACACAGCTTGGTCTTATGGTAGATTTACATGAAACGTCTAGGTTAACGGCGCATTCACAGCTTTACCGGACTCGTCGTTCGAACTTGGAAAGATCGAAAAATTAGGCTCTTGATTCGCAAGCATTTTTCGAAGAGAAAGTTTTGACCAATCAGGAGGCTGCATTTTTAGCGTTGTACTCAACCATACTGCGCTTTCGCGCTTTGCCAGACTAGACGAACGTGTTGAAAAATTTGACAATTTGACCAATGAGAAATCTAGCTTCCTTCATATTTCGGACGCGTCATGTGAGTGTTAAATAAATTGTTAAATAGCCGGTTAAATACTCGGTCATTTAACAGAGGCTATTTATTATATTTTACCTGTGGTAATATATTATTCAGTTGGTACTACTTTGCTACTTAAATAATTGATACTTAGGGTAGTAAGAGCAGTACAGTCCCATCACGTGAGAGTGAAAATGAAAAAAAGTTTTAAACAATTGTAAAGCATGAAATTGACATTTGAAAAGCTATATTTGAAAAAGAACAAAGTGTCTCTAACAGAAAAAGAAATAATGGTATTAAAATTATTAATGGTACCTTGTTCCATTTTTCTGAAGAAAAATCTACATCATTCATCCTATTTTAATTTACTACAGATTATTTTCTTCGTTAAAAGATTCTTTAGAGTTGACTTCTGACAAAGTTTAAAATGCGCGGTAATTTTTAAAATTCATTTCCCAGCTGGTTTCGGCTTGTCCAGCAGAACTGCAAGCTGTTGTATGATATCGATAACGCTGAATCTCAACTTTAGCGAAGGAAAATTTGACAAAACCGTCGTACCTGTTGACGAATTTCATGGATAGGTTCGAGCTTGTACTCCGTTATGAATTATACAGTAAAAACATGTATTACTTTATAATTAAATGTGAAAATATTTAATGAAAGTGTACAATGAATTGTGCATAAAAGCGTATAGGCCTTTTCCGAAATTAAAAGCATTACAAACACGTGTGCAGAGCAAACAATTCTTACATGCTATTCATTATATAGATTTTCATTTTTCTATACTTTTTATAAATGATTCTAGGTGCTTTTACATTATTGTTTAAATTCAATAAATTTCTACAACTCATAAGAGCTAATCTTGTACTCTTTATAATTGCTACTAATTCTACTCTTGAATTGAAAAAATTATTTTACCTGCTATTTCTTTTTATTTAAGACTGTAAGTGGTATTATATTCGTTAAATGGTACATATTTGAAAGTAGAAGTTATAAATTTCTTTACTGATTTCTCATCATTGTGAGAAATCAATGCAAGAAATTTGCAGCGTTTGAATAATTACGAATAACTACATAAATATGATAGAGACATCCTTTTCCATCAGTTATGCACTACTCTAATATACTAGCTCTTAGATCTATCCAGAACTTGATCTATTGGAAATGTGGAAGGCAATGTGTGTATTAAAAGAAACTTAAAATCAAAATTTCACTTTCATTGCATTATATTACTTTGTGAATTCCATAATAAAAATGATTACCATTTTAATAAAACAGGTTTCCATGAGATCAATCTATTTTTTAATATGTAACGTGGTTGCCATTGACAATACAAAAGTAATAATTTGTGCCATATTTTAACGAGTATAAGAAACCCAGTCTATCGTTAATTGTTTCACTTAATTTTATGAGTAAGATTTTACATTATGCTTGCTATATTTTGATGAGAGTATGGAGTAAAACATTTATTCAATTTATCACCTGGCACATGCATCCTGTTAACAGGAAGTACTTTAACGATACTTGCAGAAATTGTTTTAAAAATGTATTTCTTTCGAATGATGTCTTGTTTACTCAGTGGACGAAAAAAGGCCTGATACCCTTAAAAATGAAGAATTCTCTATTTTCCACCTATAAACGGTTAAAGATATTAAGACAACCAGTAGTATCTTTTACTTATATTTTTCAAAGTAGATTATACAAATATATGGGTATTGTAAATAATGTAACATATTTTCATTTTCGAGTGATTTTCTGGTTACATTTTTTGTGAGCAAATTCAATAAGCATACTTTTCGGTATACAATTTTATGTTTTAAGTGGCGATTAAATCATGTATAAAAAGATATCCAGTGAAATTTGCTATTGCCAAATTTAGATCATATGCAATAAATTCTATGCAATAAATTTTGATTTACCCCCACACAATTTTCATTTTAACTAATAAGGGTACGTTCTGAAATTCATATGTCTCGTTCTATTGCATGCAGGTAAACAGGAACATAATGATACTCGTAACACCAGCAGTGAATTTCGGAAGGTACCTTAAAAAACTTCTCCAAGCTAGCCGTAGAGTCGGACAATAAAAATGTTAGAATTTTCATTGGTCAAATTCTTCATGAGAAACAATTTGAACTAATGAATGAAGATTCTGATTTTCCGAGTTTTCCGACGAACCCGACTGACCTGGGACAGGCACCTTTCTACAACTGATCTAGGAAAGAAACATCATATCATAAAGGTGCCATACCAGGCTAATGGAACTATATACGTGCCGGAGGTTTACAGAACAGCTACCTAGTAGCTATTGTATTTGAAACAGATTTCTATTTCACTGGCAATTTTTACTAATATCTCCTTCGTGCTTTTATACCTATAGTTGTTACATATTTACATAGTTCCTTGTTTATTAAATTTAACAACGTTTATGAATTTATCCTGCGATTGGTCCAGGTCGGTCTGACTGTAAGTGATGAATCACAATACAATCACAGTATTCATAGTACAATAGCATGAATCAAGAAAAGTGATTTATACTGGTTGAATAAATCATAAGGCATAAAGAATGGATGCTGAAATTCACGTGAATACGGAAAATTTACATTTGTTTACCACCCTGTAGTGCAACGAGAAAAATGTTTAAACTCAAAATTGTATACGGGAAAGGTGTCTAAGACAGCATACATTTTGCCATATTATCCACTACGCCGTCTTAGACACCTATTTCCTAAAAAAAATTAAAGGCCTAGTAAAATAATATTTCTTTTTCCTTTTTTCCTTATAATAAATTTTCTGAGCTGTTACATATTAATCGTTGAAATTTTAGTAGGAATTTTTCTAACCCACAACTTATCAAATGTAAAAATTCAAAATTAATGTTGCACACGATTTATCTCGAAACCGGAAGTGTTCGATATTTTAAAATATTATTTCATGTACATCCGGAACTACATGACCAAGTCCATGTGCCTGTAGAAAAACCTGTTTACCCAGTATATCCCGTTTGTTGGCCGATTCTTCTGACCGTAGACAAGGCGCAATTCTATTACATCCGACAGAGTTGTTTATGACACTGACGGTGTCAAGAAGAATGTAGAATAAAAATGATACGTCGTCCAAGTTATATGCGCGTCTAAGATGGCAGAATCTTTCCACAAGCAAAATCGATTCGTGAGGGGCCATCTTGAATATCCTGATTGAAATTCAGAATCAAGTACCCCATAGAAATCCACAAAATACATATTTTTCTGTCTAGTTTTCTATTCTGAACATTTCTATCCCTTTTTAGCTAACGTGTTAACTGCAGGGACACCAGCTACAAAGATATAGCAGACACAAAATATCTATGCATAACGTTTAGAAATTTATAAATAAATCGTTTTACATTACCACAATATTCACTATTGTCATAACTTTAATGCTCCACGCATTAAAGATTGTTTGAATCTGCAGTAATTTGGTTTTTTAGTTTTGGACAGCAATCTGAATACTTATTTGAATGAGTTAATAAGCTTCAAGAACTGCTTGTATATTTGCACCTTCTAATATGTCTACCGTTAAGTATAATTGTGCGTCGTAAATTTCAATAAAAGAAACCGTTATGTAACTTGCCATGTAAAAGAATTCACCGAATCCAGAGTTCCCTGATTCTGGATCTCAAATGACGGGTATGACCACATGTGTAGTCCTTATACTAATTTGTATACCCGCACACTCAATTCCTTCAAGTTATTTCATTTCACTTCTGCAATCTCACTCCGAGGTATTTTAAAGCTGCTTTTTAGAAGAAATGAGTAGATTTATAATTTCTAACCTGGAAGCGTATGAAAAAATATTTGTTATGTCCCACCATTTCTATTCACTTGATAATTGGAAGATTATTTATTATTATTGGAGATGATGAACATACATAATAAGTGTATCAACTTTGTTGTCTTGTATATATTCGTTATCTTCAGTCATGCTTTTCGACCCATTTTTGTACCATCTGCTGCAATTTGTATTAGAATCATATAAATTTCATGAAATTATCATTTGGAATTCTGACATAAACTGTTGCTATAAATCTATGTAGATGAAGAATTAGCATAAAGGGGAATCAATATGGCGTCGCAGGCTGGAAGATTGATGCTTGTATCAATTTTTATCTTTCATTTCTTCCCTTTGAAATTGATACGAGTATCAACTTTCTTTTCACGTAAACTGATTATAAATAGACTATACGCGCGATTCTAATATGCAGAATATATATCTATTTCCTATATATATATATATATATATTGTATAATAGTAATCTATGTATAGCATCTCAATTAGTAAAGTCGGTATGTAGGACTCCGTGACACTCTATCCTATAAGGTGTTCAGTCTATTTACCTCTTTAGGCTGTATAATAGTAATCTATGTATAGCATCGAGTATCAACTTTCTTTTCACGTAAACTGATTATAAATAGACTATACGCGCGATTCTAATATGCAGAATATATATCTATTTCCTATATATATATATATATATATTGTATAATAGTAATCTATGTATAGCATCTCAATTAGTAAAGTCGGTATGTAGGACTCCGTGACACTCTATCCTATAAGGTGTTCAGTCTATTTACCTCTTTAGGCAAGGGTTTTGGTGTCAATCTTATGAAAGTCTAATTTATCCTTGTTAAAATAACATTTTTTTTTTCTGTATGAACGACAATTTTTATAAGACAATGTTTACTTATAGTGATTGTTTATGACTTTTTATAAAACCGATGAGTTTTGTGCACGGTAATTTTTGGCATGTTTATAATTTATTGCATATTACAAAAATGAAAGTTTGAGTATAAAAGAAATTTTACACTTAGTCTTCAGTGATTGTGCTGGGATTGATAGCATAAAAGAAGAAATTGTAATTATACAAAAATATTAAATTAGAAAATCTCGAGTAAAAATTTAATTCTGTGGGAAAACTGAGACTCTCTCACACCTGATATTTACAGTTCTGGTTATTGTGTATGATCAATCGTGGTTTAGAAGCCATTTATCCATAGCTTTCGGCCATACTAAATTTCAAATTGGGAAGAATTAAGCGATAACAAAGAGAAATGGAATTAATGTTACACAATGACTGTAGCTTTTAGTACAATTTCTGAAATAATGATTCCTGCACGTCAATAAATATGACTGTGTATGCTTTCTAATTGTATCTGAGACTTTGTACACGTTGCTATATTAATGAACATCAATAACATTTAGAAAAATTCTGCTCCGGACGGAGATATGATGTTAACACTTGGATGGAGGCCTAAAAGACCCTGGATGTTTAATTTTTCGTGTCGCAACAATGACATTTTTATTTAGATATCATTTATTAATTAATTAATAATTAATTTAAGCGGTAAAATAAATTAATTTTCCTAGCCATATGTATGAACAGTAATAATTCCCAGCGCAAAATAATACTTTTGCATTGGTCATCAATATACTACATTGCCCATGCGAGTACTAGTGTTACGAAAGCTGACGAGACTGCTGAAGGGTTAAAGGTTGCAGATATTCATAATTTGTGGTTTTAACAGATATATGTCCTTGAAAATTTGTTTACGAATCACAGCTGTCTAGAAAATACTTTTAACTTGAACATAGATAATTCATTTTTCAATGCTCTTGTAGAAAAATATAAATTATTATATACATATGTATCCATATATATATAAGACTCATTTTTACATTGCTACACATGAGACATAACTGTACAGTAATGCACAAGGATGTTTATTGTAATATGCAATTTAGTTGCTTAACGCTTAGGTAGATATTGCAGTAGACAACTTGATGTTCTGAAAGAAGAAAATACAATTCATGAGACAATTTAGATGGTATGTTTAAGAAACAAATTATAATATTGGATGAAAAATAAAGGAGAACAAAATGTCTACTACGGACCACATTTTTTTAAATGCGCACAGTAATGATTAATCATTGATCGAAGCGAATGATAATCATCACTGAAATTGTTAGTAATCCATAAGGAAGTCATTGTAAATCAAGAGTGACCACTACTTGAATTAATAATCATTACCTTAGCTTTAATGCTATTTGATAGTTATGATGACTTTTTATATATACAATTGTCTTACGATACTAGGTCATATATTAGTTAAACTTCTCTTGAAGTTCAAGTCTTATGTAAATTTCACTTATAGAAGAATTTATGTCTGTGGAGTGGATACGTTTTAGTTTAATCGCTATTTTAATTTTATACAAACATAACATTGTCTGTACGTAATTTAAATGTAACCTTCTTGTCTGATGACAGATTTATCTGACATACTACCCAACTGAATACTTTTTACTGTTTAATTTCACATTGCCTTTGACAATTTATCCAACAATTCCAAGTTTAAATGTTTCTACAAGTATAACTAAATGTACTTTATTATTATTATTATTGTAAGACGAATTTCCATAATTGGACCACTTTCAGGATGTCATTTTGGATATTCTTTGACTTATAAGTCTACTATAGTTGAACAAAAATTTTCTTTTACCAACTTCTTTTAGTTCACAATTTTTGTTGCTATTTCGCTCGCATTTATTGCTGAATATGAAAAATAAATTTAATAAATATCATACCGATAAGAAAATAGCAGTGCAGACAAACACTTCTAATTCGATCCAAGGAATCGGTATGGATGTAAGGTAAAATTTTGATAAAAATAAATTCTATTAGGATCGCGTGAGTAAAATCTACGCATCATATTTCCCTGTCATATAAGAGCTTTGCAATGATTAATTTACCTATAGCAAAATGTCCCATTACCAATGGTATTTTGCCAAAGGTAACAGATAGTTTTCCATTGATTTCCATTGATTCACGGCATATTGCCCTTGGCAAAATACAATTGCTAATGGAACATTTAGCTATGGGTATGTATTCTTAACGAACGCGAGGACAATATAATACCAATATATTCGCTCATTGCAAAAAAACCTTTATCCAGGTCATTATTTATTTGAAAATTGTAGTTTTCTGTAAAGTACTCGCATTCCTTTGAGCGTGAGTTTAAAAAATGTCAATCGCATTTTCCGTCAACGCATAAAACCTTGGTGTAAATAAGGTGAACACAATGTTCCACAGACAGTCAGGCATTTGGTAAATTATAAATTGGAAATTTATAACATGAGGTACGTTATCTATTAACAATACAAAGATTCATCCACACCATCAGACACACTACATACAATAGTTAATGGTAATTCGACATTACAGTATGTGCATTATAGAAAATCGTTATACTAATGAAAAAGATAACTTTTAATTTAGAAAATACATACCGTACCGTACTGTTCCTTGTACTTCTCCTTTATATATAATTATATTAGCAAATAACAATATAAGATAATTTATTGTGTCATTTAATTTCACGAATTAGAAGGATATAAATTTATGAAAAAGTATTTGATTTTAAAAATCATTCTAAGATTCAATCACACCTAAAAGCTGCTTGATAAAAATCGGTAACTCAACGAAGGGACGACCGTCGCCGCAGTATGCTGGATTAGTCAACTCTCACGGATTCCCATTCTGGTTGCGCGCATACTGTCTTCTCAAACATATATTTAGACGGAAATAAGGGGTTTACTTAAAAATCCGCAATGAAACCCCTCTCTCTCTCTCTGTGAATGGTAACGCCATATTACGTAACTATATGTAACATAACATAACATAACATTTGGAATTATGAAAAATATAATAATCGATATTATCCTATTATACAATGGACGACATAGCCATTCATTCACTGATGCAAATTACAAGTGCTGCTGCCATTAGTTTATCGATAAACATTTACACCATTATGTACAGGGTATCATACATAGAAGGAAAATAAGTGTTCTTCGATTCGATCAATAATGATTATAAGTTCTTCGATAGTGTTACTACAAAAAATTTCAAAAGAAAAGTACAATTTCGTCTAAACTCAATTAATAACAAAGTGTTTCTAATGAACTGTTTTTTTTTTTTTTTTTCGTTATCTTTCCATGATCATGCTAACATACCTCCATACGTCCTCAACAGCTTTGACTTAGAAAGATCAGTATACGCATGAAAATTGGTGTGTAAGAATTTGATCCAAGAGGAAATATGAAAAAATGACATAAGACAATAAAAAGACCCCAAATCGAATTGACGCAGTTAAATATTTCCTTTCAGATCATTAATTTATATACCCAATTAACCGATAGTTCAATTTTCAACTCACATCGCATATCAACAATACATTATTCATGGTACTGTGCGTGGATGTACACATTCAAAGTTTTAAGTGGTGAAACACCACCAAATTTTGTTTAACAATGAATCTTCGCATTTCTATACTTTTCTAGGAGGATTTTCTTTTAAAGCAAAGTATTACAATGTGAAAATTTACGAGTGGCAGTGTATCTTATCCGGTATGAATCAGACTGTTTGGTAATACGGGCCCAGCAGACTTTGATTTTAAAAAAAACGTATAATAGTCAAAAATTTATATGCGGAGTCAAATCTGTAGTAAATCAGTTCAAGATGTGCATGCATTTGTTATTTATCACTTGTTATAAGTACGGATCTGTCGCTTCAGTTAACTTTCTGTTTGTTAATTGGCACGAGATTGTACTAGTGGTATGGAAATCTGCGGAACAGTCATCAATGATATTTGCAGTTGAAATTTGTGGATGCACCACAAAGAACTCCATCATCGCACAAATCATTAATATTATTTACGTATTAAATTAACCTACGGATAATAGGAATGTATAATCATTGTCTATAGATATCTACAGTATGTAAGGAAAGAGATGGACATTTATCTTGCAGTGCTTTTGCACTTTTTGCATAGCGTAGAAACCCGTTGTATCTATACTACAAAGTTTTCAGTCTTGAGAATTGCAAACCGCGAAGATACCGTGTATCGAGCATTGCGCATTTATCTAGACTGCTTTAATAATATTGCCAGGAAGTAGTGGGATATTATAGCAACAAACAAAAATTTTCAAAATAATTAAAAGCTAAAGAATAGTACAGTTTCTCTTTGAAAGTAAACAGCGTTGACGATTTAGTGTGTGCATAGTGTTAACAATAATTATCTTGTTCCTGGACATTTTTATGTCGAAAACAAAGCAATCGGCATTTATTTTTCAAAAAATATAATCCCACTAAAGTTTGATGTAAACAAAATATATAATATTGGAAAGTCGCTGGGCTCCGAGTGTATTGAGAAGAACAGGAATAAAAAACATTGATTTTGCAAATCAAAATCTAATATAAAAATACAGTATATCGTTATGCTGGAGACTTGGTTTGTGTTTAATTGTAACATCGCAGACTTTTATTTTGACTAACAACTGATGAACAAGTGTTTCTCTTTTTCGTTTTACTATTTTGCATTAATCATGTACATTTTGTTTTCATGAGTTTTCACTTTCATGTTTTACTCTTTCCGCGATCAAGTATGGTCGTAATTGAATTGTATGCCGATCATTTTATCGAGACATGCCTAATGAAACATCCAAAAATCAAATATGCCCTATATCCTTACAAAAACGACTTTTCTCCTTATTTTTTCCATTAAGAAAATTTCAAATTGAATATTTCATATTTTTCTAAGATATTATGGGCACGTGCTTTGACATGTCTCGTAAACTCGTGAAAAAATACAGATGTGTTTATTTTGGCTTGTGTTAGTTTTGAGCAAAATATGTTCGGTCTTTGTAAACGAAAACGAATATATTTTTTACGTCGAGCATATCATCCAGGTCGAAAGATGATATGACAATAAATATTCCTGTAACACCACGATGTATGAAACACTCTTACAATTCTCTTACTTACATACACCGGTATAGAAGAAAAGATGTAACCGTTTATAAATATTACGATGCACAGGTTTTCGTTTAAGAGTTAACAGAAATCATCAATCATATGAAAAGTAATTACGTAGATTTTATAACTTAAAAGATGCAGACCTGTAATTTCCTGAATCGCGTGTCGAATTATTTATTGAATTCATGATGATTCGTGAAAAAAAATTACGATAAATATTTACGTCTTACTTAACGACTCGGTTCTCACAGTTCCAATGAGAAATCACCACTCATCGAGCGCTGAACCAACATAAAGGTTGGCCTCATACATTTATTTCGTTTCTTGTCCAACAATTCCTTTGCTGCGCATTAGCTACCCTTAGAGTTATTCGAGCTGTCTCCGAGCACGATCTTCAGTTTCGTAGATAATCACAGAGTAAGAGAGAGGAAGAAAACACCTCAACTTTTCTGAAAACAAAACTCACGCACTCGCGGTGGTATACCATACTGTCAGTTTTTCTTTAACTCGGTAGCGTCTGTAATCGCGATGATACTCAAGTTTTCTTTTGCTATTAAGAAAATTAAGCATTCAGGGAATGTAAAGGATTTTCGGCACAGTCTTCGTGTATCTATTTCAAGTCTTCCATGGCGCCATAGTTAGCAAGGGACTTTTTAATCCTGAGCGCAGTCAGTCTAGCAGCAGCATTGTGGTACCAGCATTCCTTCATTACTTTGGACATCACCTGAAGAGCCTGCAAATCAATAACTTCCGGTGAACCGAACAACTTGAGAATTGATCTTTGGTGTAAATTTTGTGCGAGTAAGAAGACTGTACCTCAATCGACTGCCATCTGTTAGGAATTGATGGCCTCTGTCGATCCGTGCAAACGACTTTTCGCATTTCTTCGATTGTTGGATCGGATGGTACCAAGTCGTAGAACGGAAGTTGGTATTCGTCGTGTATTCCACCGACATTACACCTTCTCGAAATCTCCCAAAGAATTAGGCCAAGAGCGTACACATCCGCCCTCTTGAAGGAGTCAAAATGGTTCATGTTTATCGTCTCCTCTAGAACCTAGAAAGGAGAAAAGAAAGTTTTAGAATAATAAAAAAAATATTAATTCCTGTAAAAAACAGAAGCGTTAAATTAATAAAATAAAAAATTATCCAAAGCAAATTAATAAATTTTGCTCAAACGCGTTAAACATACTTGTATATAAGTAAATAGGTATTTATTTAAGAATGAAAATCATTTTAACATTCCTTATATATCCTATTCACTATTTTCGTTTACATTTTACTCTCATGATAATGCAAAAGTCCCCAATCTCAATGATTGTCACAATCTGACGTCTGAACGACGTACAGTTTCATTAACATTGATTTTTCCACCAAGAAGTTACTACTAAAGAGTTTTGACTACATTTAAAATTGCTTGCCGGTATGACAAAGCTGTCAGAATTTGCCAGCTTAAGGTCAGGATCATTGAAAAGAGTTGGAGAGTTCAAAGGCAAGCCCACTTGTAACTAGGTAATTAAGATGACACCCAAATATCTCAAAGTTAATTCTCTTCAAAAGTATTTTGGTGCTTTTCATAAAAATATTATCAATGATACCTACTTCAGGTGCCATATAACGCTTGGTGCCAACCCTGTTATTCAATTGAATATCGACAGTGTCTGTGATGACATCGTGTCTTACAGCCAGTCCAAGGTCACCAATGGCGCAGGTGCCATTAGTTTTGACCAGTATATTTTTCGATTTGAGGTCCCTGTGAGCGATTGCTGGTTTTCCCTGAGTTCCAACAATCTCCATATGCAGATGTGCCAATCCCGTAGCAATGGATAGCGCCATCCTGATCATACCATTTGTATCGACGGTAGATCGATTCAGATAGTCAAAAAGTGATCCCTTCTCGTGATAATCCGTAATCAGCCAAAGCTGCGTCCACGTACCATTATCTGGAAATATAATATCCTCGTTAATGACACAATAACAGAAGATCAAGGTAAAATAATAAAATAATAAAATAATAAAAACCATTAAACTTTTTTTAAACTTCAACAAAAAAAATTTCAAAATAACTTTTAATCTACTTTCAGTTGTAAATCGATTATAACTAAAAGATTCTAGATCCCATATGAAAAAAAACTTGAACAACTAAAAAGTTACCAAGTTTTCCTTACACTATTTAAACAACGAGGTCCAAACATCAGAGATCAGGACGAATGGAACATGATTTTTTGACAAAACCAATTTTTTCCCCTCAAATATAGCACGAAGCAATACCTTCCTTAGCTAATAAGCCTAGACCACAACCAAACGTAACTTTAAAAAATATTGTTATCAAATTTAGGTCAACTATCTAAATCATTAATTAAAACGAAATTACCTTTGTTATCAGCTGCTATAAAACCGAGAATATTGTCGTGCCTGAGCATCACAGTCTGATATATCTCAGCTTCTCTGAACCAAGATCTCTCCTCGCGCGAGCTAAAAATTTTAACAGCGACGTTTTCCCCGCGCCATCGCCCACGCCAGACCTCGCCGAATCGACCTTTCCCAATGGTTTCGACAAGTTGGATCTGACGCGCGATGCTCCGCTGAACCAGGAGCGGCAGGCCTACTTGGGAGAGGAAGGCATTGAAGAATGCGAATTTCAGTACAATTGTATGATTCACAAAAAAAAAAAAAGAAACTTAGATGAAAAACAATATAAAGATGTATGAGTCAATGACTTATCGCAGTGATAAAAATAGCGATAAGAAAATATTTATGATTACCTACCCGAACCACTGCCACTCGTCGTCATCTCAAGCATGTCCCTGATGGTGACGCCTCCTAATATCGGCCGATCCGGAGCCTCCAGGGAGTCATCCGGGAAATGCCTGGCGGTTCTCCTCCGGGTCATATGTATATGATAGATGATCATAACCACCATACAAATAATGCAGATCGGCACTGCTATGGAAAGCGCCATTTTCCACGTGGCCCACGTGACGCCATCGTCGTTCGGTGACACTTGGGTCAAACAATAAGCATTATATTCCTTGCCAGTAAGAAAAAAAAACAGCATGCGCTCCAAGACACCAGTAGCAATTTTTTTTTTTTTTCAAATAAAAATTGAAAATAACTTTCAGTTTATACATGCAAACGCGATGCAAAGCGTATCTACAAGTTGCAGGCAGGCTGGCTGGCACGAGTCTCCAATGAGGAGAAATGCTGAAGCATAGTGACAATGAAGCGTTGAAATGTCAAGCTACGAATAACATGCAGTCCAATAATAAAGCGGTTGGATGGTTGGATATTTGGATGCACAGTAAGTTTTCTGTGTCGAGCAATGGTTTCGTGCGATTAGTGTTACGAGGATCGGGTGAAAGTATATCTTGGGTTTTACGGGCAGCGAAAACGCTTTTATTTCTTATTATCAATAACTCGACGCTCGCTGCAGAGAATTTCGTTTATTTCGCTTTCAATTGCTTACGACTGTTTACAGCACCTGGTGATTCTTTAGTAACGTAATTATTTATCTATTATGAACGGCATTCGCCCACGAATATCTAAATCGGGTGACTCTTAAATATCAACAGAATCACGGTTATACGAACGTTCGATAGAAATTTTATATTTCTCTATTTCTCTAACAAGTACAAGAATGCTGCGAAATTAGCCAATATCCTACACCGTTACCTGTCGTCACGCTGAAAAAAAAAAACAAAAAAAAAAAAAAACAGAAATGGTTACTAGTGCGGTTAGCGTAGAAGATGAACGACCAACAGCGTGGAATGGTACTAATTATTTAGAAGATGGTAACAGTGACTGCTCAGACGTTAATTTTTACTGGTTTCAGCTAACGACCAATACTTCACTGCAAAGTGGAACTCGCTGCCGGGACTCCCTGTTAACTGGACTAGTAACCAATAGGAGCTGTTCTCTCTGCTCCGTGATGCTTTTCTCGTAGGTTTTTGTGCAAGTAAAAAATACCCCAGAAACAAATAACTCACTTGCGGATCGACTCGTGTTATAACGAACTTATCATTAAGTATATAACAAAAACTTTGTGTCCTTTCGCTTTAGTGTAAATCGACCTTAATGATATATATATGTATATATTCACCTACTGACGTCCAACGTTCATAAAGCTACTACTTGTTGATAAGAAAGACTACAAAAAAATCCATCCGACCTTTGTTGCTTGCAAAAGTAGAGCAACCCATTGTCGTATAATATTAATGTTTATTTGACAACAACGATACGACGCACAGCAACAAATGTCACACGCAATTATCATTATTTCCTTTCAATTCCTCTTTCGAATATAAATCATCAATTGCAATGCAGTTTTACGAATGACATTTTACACGAATAAAAGTGAAGCTTTGTTTCTTGTCAGATGTAATTTTTGCTTGTGTCATTGGAATAATTATAAACATCTGCTTTTCATGCAATAGGGAAATATATTCGTACAGCGAAACAGTCACGTTTACATTATTACAGCAGCGTACCTGAAATTCTTTTATTTTTATGCTTCGACATGTCGAGTGCACTAATTACCTAAAAGTCTTTATTCAATTATAAAATGACGGCTCGGAATTCACCTGTGACCAGTTTCGCTCAATATGTACAATGCATTTCATTGACTATATCGCAATGCCATTGTGACGTAAATTACAAGCAAATAGCAACACCATGGTTGGTCGATTAATAACAATTTATTGTTCATCGTAGTTTTCATATTATAATTAAACAATTTAAATATAAAATAAACAAATTTAGCTTGAGGCACGACCATGTCTCATTTCATGGTCATGCGTTATGCGTACGTCCATCGCCGCACCCTTCCCCTCCTCCTCCGCCGGACATATGCTCAACGCTGCTTTAGTATAAAAAAATTAAACTAATGTAAATTTTATTATCCAATTTGCATTTGAAACTTGTTTTCTTAATACATGTTCACTGGGTTGGTTCAGAGGTTCGATAAAAATTTGGTATACAGCCGTAAGCAAAAACGCACACTCACGCACGCACATTCCTTACGATATAATTGTTTTTCATTGTTTTGACTGAAGCCTAAAAAATCAATATACCTTGGTAACATTATTATTTTTATCGTAGCCCATATTTACTCGCTGGCATAATTCACTACATGCGTAATCTGTAGTAAAAAGAAGCGCAGCCCTGAACTTGAGTAAATATAGGTGACGTGAGTTTCAAATTGTCAGAGAAACTAATATAATTGGTGCAATTCGTAAATAAGTTATATCGGTTTACATCGGATACGACCGATTGGAAAGTAAAGAGTCAAAGCTTAGTAACAAAGTCGAAATTTATATTGGCAGTCCGGAAGTATTTTACCGGGTCAAAGAGGATAACACGCGAAATGATTAGAGGACCGCGTACTGATAAGCGTAATTGGAGAACTTTTAAATATAGATAAAAAGTATAATAAATAAAAGCCTTTATTTATCGATGCAAATTATCTGCTACTAATTAATTTTAATAATTTTTTTTTAAATCAACAAACAAACCATCGAACATACTATAGTGTGTCAGAGTTCTGATAAACTTGATATGCTCTGTAAAGAAGATAAATAAAATTTCATAATACGCAACATATAAATGATTAATTTTTTTTTTTTTATAATACACCGATTCTCCATAATAAAACATCGACTGGTTGGTCCCGACGGAATGAGAGTTTAAGAAATTACGACAGAACGCGCCGAGAACGTAAAGAGCGCAAATCGAAGATAATATTGAAAAAAAATTTTTTTTATTAAATCACGAATAAACGCAGATGCCCGTTTATCCAGATTAAGTCGTATTTGAGAACGATCTGTCGCACCCTTACCTGTGGCTGGCGCACCCTGGGAACAGCAGCAGCTTTCTTGAATGCACGCGTTGCTGTTAATTTGTTAAAATTAAAATTCACACAAACGCATTGACAGGTGAGGGATGTTAATAGTATGACTGTGGGACTTGATGAACTTGTTATATCAATGTATATATATTGTTTGGACGGTGAATCTGTTTTGCGATGCAACGTGATTCCTAAATTTTATATATTTTTCGATAAAGAAAAAAAAATCTTGCATTCAGCAGTTACATTGAAGGTCCAATTGTATGCTTTGTTTGGACGGATCCCCTAACGCATGACAAACCGATTGTATTTCATGCCTGCCGTGTATATATGAATTTGGTGCGACGATACAAACGATATTCAACATTGATGATTCGTCACTTACGATGACGATGATGATGACCGATGATGACGATTGACGATGTTGATGACGATTGCGAACGACCCAGTTGCCGAACCCAACACAAATAGATGACAAACATTATTGCTGACGAGCAGAGGAACAAGCGCGATGATTTAACGAAATACAAAGATCATGAAACATTTTGCGAACGACTGAGCATCGACAATTCGTCTCAACATTTTTCGTTTTTTTTTTTTTTCAACTCTGCACGAACCTTGAAATTTAATCAAAATCCAAATTATTGATTATTGTTATAATTTATTTTGACAAATTTAGATTTTACGATAAATAGATATTTTTTATCTCCTTATTTAGCTCTTCAGAAAAACTTTGGCTCGAAATTGCTAATTAATTACATCACACTTTGCCTGAGTTTTATTATGTTTAATTATTATTTATGCAATCGCGTAGGCATTATCGTGACTGATACAAAAAATACGATGCCATTTTACATGATTATAAACAATAACTTGAAATATTAGCATTCTCTCATTCAGAGACCTTACAAAGTAGTCAAAGTGCATGCGGAGTAAAAGCTTTAACTTGATAAACACAGTTTAACGAATCGTTCGGCAATTATGAGTTTTTAGCAAATTATGTAAAAAATTTTTTATCACCGTTAACAAGAAATATGTGCATAATTAATAATAATTTTTCTGTTTGTTCTTATGTTGATGCTCCCTGCCTCACTATGACACGCAGTTACGATTAATACAGCAAAAAATTTTTCCTCTACAGAAGATCCTCGTTCATGCAAAAAAAAAACACGTTTGCCACCTACGCAGCTCTAATATGAATCCTTGATACATAAAATGACGTAATTTTGCAAAATCTCGGGAAATCAAGAAGATTTGTGCAATTTATTATTTGAATTTTACAAATCGATCCCACTTAAAGTGTTTTCCTGATAAGTAACTTTTGCAAGCACTGAAATATTAAACTTTAGTATTTTCCGAACACGCATATACTAATATTTAAAATGTTTTTATCAGTAGGTATCCTATGTATGTGACAAGTGTTAAAAAAAAATTTGGATTTATCGTTCAAAGTGAACTTTACGTGAATTCTCATAAATTTTTAATTTCTACGGAGAAACTTTGTTTCGTGTGAAAATTCGCGACATGGTTATGCGAAACTTTTAATGGGATTTTTTTTCTGAACAAAAATCATGAATTTATGATAAAAAAATAAGCAAGTACACTTTACGTGAGTCTCTTTGTAGAACTTTCGCAAAAATTCTATTTCGCGACTTTTCTCATCTACGGATGAAATTATGTTTTTTCTGACGTCTGTCGCTTTTTATGACGATACGACCACTTTTATATTATTTTAATGTGAAAAAATGTCTATTACATATTTTTTTTTCATTGCTTCTACGTTTCTAAAATTTACTGTACAAACGTCAAGAACTCTCGACAAATATCTTACTTTACTGTACGGGATGCACAAGAAAAGTATATAATAATGTGGAAGATATTAATTGGATACTAAGTGTCAACTTGGACTGTCACTCGAATGTCAAAATTCATCGAATCTTATAGATCATCCCATATTTTATCTCAAACAATTAATGTAAAATCATGGCGCCCCTTACGGTATATTATTTCTGGTAGCGCAAAAAAAAATATTGAGGATCTCCTGAATACTGTAAACCAAATTATAAAATAATATTAATTTTTAATAATATACAAAAAACAACATATAAAAATATATTTCATTACATTGATATATGCAAAATAAAACAGTCATTATTTACAACTGTGCATTTGATAATGATTAAAACAATTTTATTTTTACTGACAAAATCAGTCTATGATTATGTCTATTCATAATTGTTCAAACAAATAGCAAAGAAATATCGAGCAAATTATTATATATGCATATAAATTTCGGAATCAAATTTCGAAATTGATAACATACTTCAATCAAAAAGTTTCGGATTATTCCAACAATAATTGACAACGTATGTAATTGTACAACGTACCAATAAACTGTCTAATCGATCATTTATCCCAGAAATTATTGTAAATAACTTTGGCAGAAAATTCTCTGTACATTTACTACGTATAAAGATAAATACACTGACGCAAACAATGAAAGCTATTAAAATTAATTAAAATCATAATTAGCCGATATATCAATAAGTCCATACAATTATAAATTGACCAAAAAGCTGTGATACCAAATCAAATCGCTTTCAAAGTTTCAAAATTTCAAGATCCGGAAAAAAATTGTAGACACAAAATGCCAAACCGGTTTTTCATAAACTACCTTCGATAACGATAATTCAAACCCAGCCAGACAACCAATATTGGACAATAAACTCCGATTAGATAATGATAAAAAACCAATATTTTACAATATACCAAAGTCAATGTTTTACAATATACCTTCTACTCATCGATATAACCTTTCGGCATTATGAACGTTGTCCAAAAAAAAGGTAATGTAATTAAGAGTAAAAAAGGTAATATCCAAAAAGCTTTATCACCGTGACTCGTGTGAAAAATACGAGTTATGAAAAAAGTCAGATGAAAAAATCAATTAAATTCGTTAATTATAACGAGAAAAAAGGTTTGATCTTAACGATGATTACCTGATTGGCGTCAATAAGAAATTCGAATACTATTTTAATGTCCGCATCGAGGATGTCTGAAACTTTTGGATCGTAGTCTGTTAAAATTCCAAATAAAAAACAACCCATAACCATGAACCATCGACATACAAGTATGAGTTCCCTAAATGAAAATGACGCCTGAACAGACGACTGCAGTTGTGTGCATAAAATCGAACGAATAACGTCTGTGCTGTATTCCGAAAATATCGAAGCCATATTGAGGCAGAAGTAAGATACGCGCAAAGATGACATTATGGTCCTGGAACGTGGTAACAACGTATGGTGTGACGTAAGACAAAGACACCCCAAAATTTATGCAACGAAGCAACATCATGAACAGTGGCGGAGATTGTCATTCACGTTCTTCGTACAAGATGCTGACATGTTAGGCCTCCTTCTTAACAGTATGGTACTGTAATATCATCCTCATACCCTTCCATACTCCACTATTTCAAAAGGACTTTCCTCTCTCGTCAGCTTATACAAATGAACATACATTTATAAAAAAACAACGTAACAAACGAAATGTAGGAGAGCAAGGAACGAGGGACAATAAAGGAAAGAAAAAGAAATTTGGAAAATTCGGATAACGAAAAAAAAAAAAGTATTAAGGAAAGGAAGGATTAAAAAAAAAAGGGAAAGGTAAGAGGAAGATAAAAAAAAAGGGATCCATAAGTGACAGCCACGAGATCAATTCCACTTTGAGGGGTCATCTCCTTGTGGGTTACAATACGAAAGAGCCCCCTGAAACGTAGAACTGACCACGTGGCTCACGTGATACGTCACACAAAAGCCGCGCGATTCGCTTCCAAAAATTGATTTTCCCTTTGTCGATCGCAGCAACGTTCGAACATAGTTTGTACGGAACGGCCATATGCCACAGAGATTGTCGCAGTGAGAGAAAAAAAGAAGAGTCCAAAGTGCATTCTTGATGCAGATACAATATATCGATTCTCGTAAAACACACGACGTACAAGCTCTGTAGCAACGTGATCCGAGCGAATATCGTAGATACCTCCATCGTGAGGATTTGGCGAGCGAGAAGTGTCTTGCGGCCGATTCGAAGAAGATAAAGAGGGTCGAAGGTCAAGGTTGCAGTAATCCGCGTGGTCGCAGCAGACGATAACGAACTCGCTGACTGGTGGGACTCGGGCAGTTGTGACGTTTGTGTTACACCAAACGGAGTAAGAGGGTGCCGGGAAGAAGTGCCTCTTATCGTAACACCTGTTAACAATTCCACAACACTCCCCACTTGACTAACCGAGTATCCCCGCATAGCATTGTTACCAATTTCCTAAAAATTCTTTTAGACTCCAAAACACATTATCCAATTGTAGAGCGAGACGCGGGACTTCCGTCGGAACATGCGTAAGTAGTCGTCTCGTGCCTAAAAATTACGTCTTTACAGACTGCCATCTGGCGGAGCTCAAAGTAGTAGCGCGACACTGAATAGTTCCGAGAGAAGTCCCTTAAGAGTCGAGAGACGTGAAAAAACATAGACATTTAGAGTTCATCAAAGTTCACGGTGAACGTCGTTGGGGGTAAAATCCATATCCAATGGATAAAGGAACAACGACGTAGGAAGGATATCCGGGATAAAGGAATAGTCTAGGTTATGAACTGCCATAAAAAAATACTAGTGCAAATATAATTATTAGTTCCTAGTCAAAGAGGACATGAAAACTACGAGAACGAGTGAGCGCTAAGAGACAGCGAAGGGATTAAGAGATTATAGCGATAGTAAGAATGAGGGGAGAGGATCAACGTACAGATGTATAAACAATAGAGCGAAAAAAAAGGTAGTATACAAGGCGGGGGTATTATTAGTGGTAAGTCGTAATCCATAGTGAATTCTACGTCTACTGTGAGAGAAAAAAGAACTTATCCGGTGATCGTGGACGCGCTTACGGACGCGCTTACGGACGCGCTTACGGACGGGCTTACGGACTGGTCTTGAGAAATTTTCGAATAGTACGAGAAAGATCCGTAAGCGCGACGATCGATCGAGACTAGTTTGTGAGTGGGCATGCGCAGAGAGAGAGAGAGAGAGAGAGCTTAGCTTGAATTCGAATAGATATCCAAAAGTAGAAAACCGCATAAGAGTGAAATGGAAGAAGGATAGGGCTCGATTCATATAGGCAGAATAAGAGAGAGTGAAAAAAAAAGAGGAGCCTACAAATACGTGTATAAAGAGTACTAAGGAGTTTAGACAAACAAACTTTATCAACAGTTATTAGCCCATTGTCATTAGGAGGGCCAACGGTACAAGTGAGGACTCGTGTCTGGTTAAGATCTTTTTTTCTCTATATGTATGTAGATTTCTATATACATATGAAAAAAAAAAGAAATTAGTAAGATCCCGTGGGTACCAGAAACTGTAAGTAAGAAAACAACAAAATTTATATATACACAGATATATCCTTCTACATAGAGCATTATACAGATTTCGTAGCCAGCTAGTAATACGTGGGAGTAGTACAGAAACAAGAGAATGACATGCTAGCACCGCTACCAGGTCTCCCCATCGAGAACTTACAATCAAGTAGAAAAGTCAGATCTGCCAACGGTAGAGAATTGAGGAAGGAATACGTGGAGGAGAAGAAGAAGATAGATGAAGAGAGTAATGAAGGAGACGAATACTACTCTGACGTAACGCAAATCTCCAAAGGTGGCAACGGCGCTGGTTCTGGATTTTTCATTGACACTGGTTCATCGAGAATAGTCGATTTCTTTTTTTAAATCCAGGTTTTTCGCCCCTCTTGGCACAGCTATGCCAACAGACCTCTCCGGGTGACACACAGCTCAGGTATGAAAATGCACGCGCCGCGTCGTAGTAAACATGCGAACAGGACACTGACGTTCAACGAATGAACTAATCTCACGTTACCGTGTCGATAAACCGGTAAAATAAATTGACAAAACTATCTACTCATTCATAGGCAATGCACAACGCTAAAAAATAAGTATTCTCACAATGCCGTAGAAAAAAAAAAAAAAAAAAAAAAAAAA